TGTATGTGACATTCAGAGGGCATCTCTCTATCTTTCAGATTGAGCCAGGTCTCTGTTATAGCAATAATATCTATGTTTCCTGCACTTGCAATTAATCTTAGCTCATCTATCTTATTTCTTACACTCCTGCTATTAGTATAGTAAACCTTAAGGGAGCTAGTCCCTTGCTGTCCTCTGCTGTCCCCCTTTGTTTGCTGACCTGATCTATTGTCTTTATTTATAACTTCATGCTGAATGCCTTTTATACATTTTACTGTGTCCAACCCTAGTGTTTGCAACCTACTTGTTTCCCACACACACCATACCTCTATCTTCTATCAGTTTTAAAATCATAGGGCATTTCACCAATGGCCTTCTCAATTGAGTTTGCAAGTGCTACCACCCCAGCCCCAGAGAGATGTACCCCATCCCTTGCATACATATCATGTTTGCCATAAAAGTTGTTCCATTTGTCAATGAATGGGATTGCAAGTTCCTTGCAGTATCTGTCTAGCCAGCAATTTACACCAATTGCCCTAGACAACCATTTATTTCCTACTCGCCTTCTAGGCAAGATGCTACATATGATTGGGACCCCTCCCTTAGACTTAATGAAATCTATAGCTGACCTGTACTTACCTAGCAGCTCTTCTCTCCTACCCTTCCCAATATCATTTCCACCAGCACTAAGACAAATAATGGACTTGTTCCCATTACCTGACATGATATTATCCAGCCTGTTAACTATGTCCCCAACACCAGCTCCAGGGAAGCACACTCTATCTCTCGTCTTCTTATTCCTATTACAAAAAGCACGGTCAATATATCTTACCTGAGAGTCACCAACCACAAGAATGCGCTTACCTCTGTTAGCAGGGGCAGTAGTACCCTTACCTTCACTGGCCACTGAGGTACATTCATCCTGAAGAACAGAGAAGCGATTTCCTACCTTCAGATCTTCACTCTTAACTTTCCTTATTCTGATTCTCCTCCCATTACTGGTTGTCACTTGTAGCAGGTGCTGGACTGCACCTCACTGCTGGTAGCCGTTGCTACCTCCCCACCTACAGCCTCCTCACAGTGAGAGACAGACTGCACCTCACTGCTAGAAGCCTCATTCCCCACAACTCCAGCCACCTCACACTCTCTCCCAGACCCATTGAGGTGGACCTTCAGCCTCCTAATCTCCTCCTGGAGAAGCAAGACCTCCTCCTTCAACTCTCCAACCTCAATTTTTAAAACACTGCAGAAGCAAGCCATGCTTTGTAACTGTCCATGCTAATCCCCAAAGCAGCTCAGGGTCTGTGACCTCACGTGACGACTGACCACTGAACACTCATGCTTAAAAAAAAAAAGCGGGGACGTTGACCTCCGGAACCCTCTCCCGGTAACCCCTCTCCCTAACACCCTACATGGTTGTTTAATATACAGTAGACCGTCATTTAACATGGTAGTTACATTCCTGAAAACACTGTGTTAGGTAAAACCATGTTATGCATTGAAGATCTTATGGGATAAATAGGGTTACGTTCCTGAGAGCCTCAAAAAAGCCAAACAATTTTCTTTTAGGCCTCCACATCTTACAAAAATAAAAGTGAAAATGTAATTGTAATTCATTGTTATGATGTATTATGCTGTTTTTACTGCTTAAGACTACAAATGTAACAGAAATAATACTATTTCTTACCTTAAATTGTGGGTGCTGGTGTTTGTGGATGATTGTGAAGAGAGTGGAGTTATGTTGTGGCCCTACTGGGCTGAGGTGGATGGTATAGGGTCTGGTATTGAAGTTGATGGTTGTACTGGAGGGTCTAACTTTAAGTCATTCAATCAAGTCATTCAGTAAATCAGTCAAGTCATTCAGTAAGTCAGTCAAGTCATTCAGTAAGTCAGTCAAGTTATTCAGTAAGTCAGTCAAGTCATTCAGTATGTCAGTAAAGTGACTCAGTAAGTCAGTCAAGTCGTTCAGTAAGTCAATCAAGTCGTTCAATAAGTCAGTCAAGTCATTCAGTATGTCAGTCAAGTGATTCAGTATGTCAGTCAAGTCGTTCAGTAAGTCAGTCAAATCATTCAGTAAGTCAGTCAAGTGATTCAGTAAGTCAAGTCGTTCAGTAAGTCAGTCAAGTCGTTCAGTAAGTCAGTCAAATCATTCAGTAAGTCAGTCAAGTAGTTCAGTAAGTCAGTCAAGTCGCTCAGTAAGTCAGTCAAGTCGTTCAGTAAGTCAGTCAAGTCGTTCAGTAAGTCAGTCAAGTCGTTCAGTAAGTCAGTCAAGTCGTTCAGTAAGTCAGTCAAGTGATTCAGTACGTCAGTCAAGTCGTTCAGTAAGTCAGTCAAATCATTCAGTAAGTCAGTCAAGTGATTCAGTAAGTCAAGTCGCTCAGTAAGTCAGTCAAGTGATTCAGTAAGTCAAGTCGTTCAGTAAGTCAGTCAAGTCGTTCAGTAAGTCAGTCAAATCATTCAGTAAGTCAGTCAAGTAGTTCAGTAAGTCAGTCAAGTCGCTCAGTAAGTCAGTCAAGTCGTTCAGAAAGTCAGTCAAGTCGTTCAGTAAGTCAGTCAAGTCGTTCAGTAAGTCAGTCAAGTCGTTCAGTAAGTCAGTCAAGTGATTCAGTAAGTCAGTCAAGTGATTCAGTAAGTCAGTCAAGTGATTCCGTAAGTCATTCAGTCAGTCACACAAACTTATGTTTACCTCTTTTTTGTGTACAAAGTAACACTTCATTATGGCCATAGGATGTCTTGTCTAATATCTTTGTTTCCTTCGTTAATTCTAAGACTTAAATGCTTCCACCTTTTCTTGCCACTTTGAGAAACACTGATATGCTTACTGGGTGTCATGATTGCTTGGCAGATACATGATATAGCAATTAAAAGATCAAAACACAATTCACAATCACAATTATTATTATTATTATTATAATCAAGGGGGAAGCGCTAAACCCGGAGGATTATACAGCGCCTGGGGGGGGGGATGTGGAAGGCATTCAGGCTTAATTCGGGGAACTGGAGCACAGATCCAATTCCCTAAATCAAGAGCCCCTCACCAACATCAAGGAACCTTCCTTGAGGGGCCACAATCACAAGCTTGTAGCAGAGAAGTTAGACTGGACACCTATGAAGTATGAGTGCTTTGATGGTGGGGTGGTGTCGGAGGGTGGCTGTGGATGGCGGGAGGTCTTCCCAGCTGAACCACAATAAGGCGGCTGCTTGAGGAAAAGGGAAGTTTTTTTTTTCCCTCCCGCAAACTGAACCGTGTTAAATTCATCATACGACGTGTTACATAAAATTGTGCCGCAATTCTTCAATTGTGCCAAATAAACTCGTGCTAAATAACGGTCTACTGAATAAATGTATAACCTGTGACCCTATCTTTTTTTTTTTTTTTGTAATTACATTACCTAATAGAATACTCCATTCTCTTGAATGCTCAGTAACTCATCAAAGGTGTTACAAATTTGTACAACTGTAAAGCCTCTTATTTCAAATACTCATTTATACTTAATGTTGTAATTTGTTTACTGTATTTTTACCACTGAATATATCATTGCTTAGTTAATCTTAAGTTAATTTTAAGCCTGCCCACAGTGCACTGCATACAAGGGGCTTTTGGCAAGTACACTCAACCACTGTATTTCTTTCGTACAACTATGTATCTATGTATCATGACCAAATAATAATAAATAAAATAAATAAATAAATGTTAACATTACACATCCCTGTCTAAGACCTAACTCTTTACAGCATTTAGTAACTTACTACTTATTCCTATAGCACCTAAAGTCGGTACCTGACCAGCCGGGCTGTGGCTCATACATTGGATTGCATGCAGCCAGCAGTAACAGCCTGGTTGATCAGGCTCTGATCCACCATGAGGCCTGGTCACAGGCCGGGCTGCGGGGGCATTGACCCCTGGAACTCTCTCCAGGTAATTCCATATACTTGCAACATCTGCCACATACGCACCACCCCCACACTCACATCCTGCTCTTCTTCACTCCTAAAAGATGTTATACCTCCCTGACCAGTGCATGAAATTACCTCCTCCCTTTCTTCATTGACATTTAAAAGTTCCTCAAAATATTCCCACCATCTACCCAATACCTCCAGCTCCCCATCTACTAACTTCCCTACTCTGTTTTTAACTGACAAATGTATTCATTCCCTAGGCTTCCTTAACTTGTTTATCTCCAAAAATTTTTCTTATTTTCCTCAAAATTTCTTGATAATACCTTTCCCACTCTATCATCTTCTCTCCTTTTGCACTCTCTCACCACTCTCTTTGCTTTTCTTTTACTCTCCATATACTCTGCTCTTCTTATAACACTTCTGCTTTGTAAAAACCTCTCATAAGCTACCTTTTTCTCTTTCATCACACCCTTTACTTCATCATTCCACCAATCACTCCTCTTTCCTCCTGCACCCACCCTCCTATAGCCACAAACTTCTGCCCCACATTCTAATACTGTACTGCATTTTTAAAACTATACCAACCCTCCTCAACCCCTCCCTCCCCCCACTACTCATACTTGCACTAGCCTACCTTTCTGCTTATATCTCACATCTCACCCTAACTTCCTCCTCCCTTAATTTATACACTTTCACCTCTCTCTTACTTGCTGTTGCCATTTTCCTTTTGGTAGCAGCCTACTTCAGAGAGAATAGTGTGTTACCTTCTATTCTCTCCAACTCTAGTAATTCTACCTTGTTATTTGATTCCTATATTCTCCTACTTTTGTCCACACTGAGTCTCTACCTGGGGAACAGATAATATGGCATCGTTTGGTGCTTTGTCAGTCCTAGGGTGGGCGCAGCATTTCACCCTACCACCCTTCAATGCTTCCTAGGACATCCCTTACCCTCCTTGGCTCTGGCCTCAGATTTATTAGTCATCCTATGCTGCTCCATCCTCTCTAAATGCCCAAAGCACCTCAACCCTTCTGCAGTCCTCTGAATTACACTTTTGGTAACTCTGCACTGTCTTCTGATCCCCACACTTTGAATTCTCTAATGTTATGTTTATATTGCAGGTGTGAATATGTTGGTTGCAGTGATTCCCCTCCTCAGGTACCAGATAACGTTAAGCTCTACTGGGACTCCAGCATGCTGGAAAAATCAACCGCCATCTACAGCTGCGTGGATGGCTTCGTGTAATGTTTTCTGATGTTACTGTAACAGAGTTAAAACAACTGATAGTTTAAATAGTTAAATAGTCAAAAACTGAGCTGGGCATTGAGAGCAAAAACTCTTAAAATTCATCACAGGTATATTACAAACATTCATTAACTCCTCATATGGAGTTAATGAAACTGAAAATAAGATTAATGCTGTATATTTCAGCCTCATACAGGCTGAAAGGACACTGACCTGCATATATTACATTTTTGCATTTGAGTAGTTAACATTATTTATATATAAATGTTACAGTAATGTCAAGCTAAATTATGTCTTTGGCAACCCAGCAACAAGTGATACTGAAGATTGAGACACTTATGCAACATATGGGAATCTTTATTCAGGAAACGTTTCGCCACACAGTGGCTTCATCAGTCCAATACAAAGTAGAAAGGCGTAAGGAGAACAGGAGTTTGAGGTAATCAGTCCCTCAGCCTGGAGTCGATGTGTTCAGTTCATCAATCTTGTAGATTGAGAGACTGAACATAGCATAGGGCCGTAGAGGTGGCTTATATACTGTAGTATATAAGCCACCTCGATATACTGTAGTATATATACTGTGGTATATACTGCAGTATATACTTATATACTGTAGTATATAAGCCACCTCTACGGCCCTATGCTGTACATTCTACAAGATTGATGGACTGAACACATCGACTCCAGGCCGAGGGACTGATTACCTCAAACTCCTGTTCTCCCTACGCCTTTTTACTTTGTATTGGACTGATGAAGCCACTGTGTGGCAAAACGTTTCCTGAATAAAGATTCCCATATGTTGCATAAGTGTCTCAATCTTCAACATGTCGGTTTTTCAAACCATTCATCACAACAAGTGATACTGTTATAGTCCAATAAGTACATCATTACCTGACACTTTTATTATGCACCTCATATCCATTGTGGAAGTAGTCAAATGATCGCAAGGACACATAATCGGTTCTGAGACTCAAAATTCTGTACTTTAACTGACCTTCTTGCTCAAGAGTCCTACCTTTGAAACAGACTCTCTCTCTCTCTGATATTTTAACAAGTAACTTATTGTACCAACCTCGATTTTAGTTTATCTCTTACACACTCTCATACCCCACTATGATAATTTGTTTAGCCAACAGAACTTTGCACACTCCCTCCTAACCTCCTTATATTCTCCTTTAGTATATCTTTCCAAAGTTCTGTTGGCTAAACAAATTATCATAATACTTTAATGAAGTGTTTACAAAAATAATGGATTCAGTCAGATGTGTTATTATAGAAGCAATACAGTAATATTATGGTAAAGCTGTGCATTTATGGATAAATGCACAGCTTGACCATCCTGTAGGCAACAACCAATAGATTACAGAGGTACCAATGAGCCACTGGGATTGGGTTTAACATGCTCTGTTAGCTCAAGTTAAGCAAATGTAAATGTTAATGAATTTTTTGACAATGGGTAATGTTAGCAATGTTAGGGCATTTGGCTAGTCAAACCCTCCTGAGTTTACTCACTCCAGTTATTAGGTTTCTATATCAAGAGAAGGGTAATAATACCCTCAAATTATTTTTTTAAATGTAGTGCAGTATAAAACATTATACATACTATTTTTTTTATATTATGCACTTCTTATATACTTCAATAAAATTGTAAATTTAAATAATTTCCTATGTAATGAATTTACATAAGTGTTGGTAATTATTCTACAATAGACCTCTGCTTCAGGTTCAATCGCTTAAAGTAATTTTGATGAACGGCCAAATAAAAATCTACAGCAGTTTTCCCTGACCTCTTCCCACTCATACAATGACTGAATTCCTGGTGGCAGACCCACTCATTCATAGTGACCAGATAAGCAGTGGCAGACCTACTCACTCAGTGACAGATAAGATAAGATTTCGTTCGGATTTTTAACCCCGGAGGGTTAGCCACCCAGGATAACCCAAGAAAATCAGTGTGTCATCAAGGACTGTCTAACTTATTTCCATTGGGGTCCTCAATCTTGTCCCCCAGGATGCAACCCACACCAGTCGACTAACACCCAGGTACCTATTTGCTGCTAGGTGAACAGGACAGGTGTAACGAAACTTGTTGGAGTGTTTCCACCCGCCAAGAATTGAACCCGGGCCCTCCATGTGTGAAGCAGGAGCTTTAGCAACCAGGCCACCGTAATATCACCAGAGCGATATTACTCAAGTTTCACTTGATTTTTTTTAATATTTTGTTAAATACTGTTCTGTGTGTTGCTCTAAACTGGTTTACAGTACATATAATGATATTCATAAGGAAAACGTGACTGAATGAAAACACATTTGGGCATAGGAAACCCAATGAACATATTTTGAATGAAATTCTATAGTTCATTTTCAATTTGATTGTCATGTGCCAAGTCAAAAGACAATAGAATTCTACCTGGCCAAACAAGGTATGGTTCAATTTTGCATTTAATTGTTTTCCTCAGATATTTTTTATTAAACTTTCTGTTTTGTTGTTGTTGTTGTTTATGATCATAAGGTTTATGTGTGGTAAGCTCATATTTTGGGAGAAACATTTGTCAAGAATTATTAGAAGTTAAATAAGAAGCATTATCATCCCATCTCCCATCTCAAGTTATAACACAAGCATCTGAGGGGAAATGTGATTTGCTTAATGCATTTTTTAGGTTCTCTGATCCTTATTCAAGTTATTAAGCAGGAATTCACGGCTATTACAACTGTTGAAAATACAGTATTTCCCCTGTATCCACGAGTGATACATTCCAAGATCTACTGTGGATACCCAAAACCGTGTATAGTAGCAAACCCTGTAGATACTGTATTTTGCGGCTTATTAGATGCATTTTTTCCATAAAATGTCTCCAAAAACCACCCTGCGCCTTATAAACTGAGTGACGGGAACTATAAGCCTGGGGTGTGGGGTGGGCTGTAGCTCTCCAAGTTAGGTCGGATGCCAAACCACTGAAGCTAAAACAAGTCTTATAAGCTACAAAATACAGTAAATCGTTTTTCTTTTACATACCTATGATAAAGTTTAATTGATAAATTATGCACAGTAAGATATTACTAACATTAAATAATAATAAAATACATTGTACATTATTATACTTTATAAATGGAAGATTCATTCCTGCTGTACATCTTGGTGACCTCAGCATACAATTTTTTTCTTGTATTCAATCGAGAATTAGTACTTTTTCACTGATGGGAAGCACTTCATGGCTTCTCTTAGTCTTTGAAGAACTGTCAGTATCACTACTTTTGTGCTTTGTGGCCATTATTAAGCAAAATTAAAGGTTATTTTCGAGCCACAGTAAACCATGGATTACTGAAACCACAGAAACCGAAACCATGAATACAGGAGTTCTACTGTAGTAAATACTTTCAGTAGTGTATTGTATAAATGATGATAGAATTACCGATTATGCAAAGTAAAAAGACACAAGTGCAACTAATGTGACATTTTATTGTGGCAACGATTCACTCTCCAGGAGCTTTGTCAAGCTTGACAAAGCTCCTGGAGAGTGAAACATTGCCACAGTAAAATGTCACATTAGTTGCACTTGTGTCCTTTTAATTTACAGTAGTAATGTATTACTAGTTTTGAATACCAATCAAAAGCGTGTGATGAAAATTATTTACAATTAATTTACACAACAGTAACATTGGTATGTATTGTATTCTGCAGTGCTATCGGCTCTGTTCAGCAGCTGACTCTCACATGTCTCAACATGACCTGGGGAGAACTACCAAGCAACTTCCTATGTGTGGGTAGTGACTATAACTTTATGAATTCTGGGAACTTTGACGATGTTAATTACTTCTTCATTGTCACCATCCCTTCACTTGCAGGTATACTATATTGCACTGTGTCCACCCTTATTGCTCTACTTCCTGTTATATCTGGGTTCAAACTTACTGCAATACTTCTGATACATGTGTTCAACCTAGTTGCTCTACTTCCTGTTATATCAGTGTTCATCCTTACTGCAGTACTTCCTGATACATCTGTATTCAACCTTACTGCAGTACTTCCTGATACATCTGTGTTAACTGTGTTGGATGCAGTATGTAAAGTCTGTGCAGTGTCTTGTCCTCAAGTATATTACAGCCTCTCCTCAATTAGCGATGTACTCATTTACCGATGACTTGGACTTATGACGGGCTCTCTGACCAGCATGCATACTTAAATAATGTATATTAGAGCTGTCAGCAGATGGATGTATGAAGGATGAGGTTAACCATAGAACTGATGAAGGAAAAAAGGTGAGTGGTGCATTGAGGTATATGTGGAGACAAAAAATATTATCTATGGAGGCAAAGAAGGGAATGTATGAACGTATAGTGGTACCAACACTCTTATATGGGAGTGAAGCTTGGGTTGTAAATGCTGCAGCAAGGAGGCAGTTGGAGGCAGTGGACATGTCCTGTCTAAGGGCAATGTGTGATGTAAATATTATGCAGAGAATTCGGAGTGTGGAAATTAGGAGGTGTGGAGTTAATAAAAGTATTAGTCAGAGGGCTGAAGAGGGGTTGTTGAGGTGGTTTGGTCATTTAGAGAGAATGGATCAAAGTAGAATGACATGGAGAGAGTATAAATCCGTAGGGGAAGGAAGGCGGGCTAGGGGTCGTCCTCGAAAAGGTTGGAGGAAGGGGATAAAGGAGGTTTTGTGGGCGAGGGGCTTGGACTTCCAGGAAGCATGCGTGAGCGTGTTAGATAGGAGTGTATGGAGACGAGTGGTATTTGGGACATGATGACCTGTTGGAGTGTGAGCAGGGTAATATTTAGTGAAGGGATTCAGGGAAACTGGTTATCATTATATAGCTGGACTTGAGTACTGGAAATGGGAAGTACAATGCCTGCACTTTAAAGGAAGGGTTTGGGATATTGGCAGTTTGGAGGGATATGTTGTGTATCTTTATACGTACATGATTCTAAGCTGTTGTGTTCCGGGCACCTCTGCAAAAACAGTGATTACGTATGAGTGAGGTGAAAGTGTTGAATGATGATGAAAGTATTTTCTTTTTGGGGATTTTCTTTCTTTTTGGGTCATCCTGCCTTAGTGGGAGATGGCCAATTTGTTAAAAAAAATTAGAGCTGATTTTCTCTATTCTGTTTATTACAGTATACAGTACACAACTGTATAGACATTAAATATACCAGGAATGTTATAAATGGCCAAAGGTGGCATTAAAACATTATCAAAGATGGATGACACAAACCCACTACCATTATAGTATGCTCCTCACTTAGCGACAAATTCATTTACCGACGTTGTCTTAGGTGAGGAGAGGCTGTATTATTGATTTTTATTATATATGCCAGGATCTACAAACCTATAACTAAAATTTCATATGCAAAATAAGTATTGCAGGTGGGGGTCCGTGATTTATGAATGCCAGTTACAATGAACCACATTTAAGAACATCCAAAACACGTATTTAGAAAAACAGTTGTTTATGAAGGCCAGTCTGCAGTTATAAATGTTTTGTCTTATTATTTTCTACAGAACAGCAAATTCAATATTAGAGGTAACTCAATTGTAAGTGGAACACCAGGAATGCAAGTCATTTATAAGTTGAGGCTCCTTTATACTATTTTTTTTAAATTAGGAGAGGCACTAAACTCATAGAGTTTAGCACATTCAGGTTTGATCCAAAGAAGGGAAGAATAAGCCATTTCTTGGATCAAGAACTCCTTGCTGGCATTAAGGCACTTCTCTCTCAAGGCACTAGAAATTACAGCAGTGATGTCAGCTATAGGTGTACCACAGATAATACAATATTACATATTTGGTTCATAAAAACTAACTTCATCTCCTGCAAGCTCCACAAAGTATTCATTTGTTTCAGCTCTGATGTGCTTCATGTGTTGCTGCCTGTGTTGTACCAGGATTGACTCTCCACTCTTCTGCCTCTGCAGTCCCCGTAAGAAGAGCAATAGTTATCCCTAGCATAAACTTGACCAGGCCAGACACTCTCATGCTTTGCCTGTGGGACGTCTGAAGAAAAAACAATAGTTACCCGTTAAAATTAAGACCAATAGTTACTCTTTAAGAGGAAGAGCACTAGTTATTATAAAAGAGAGCAATAGTTATCAAAAAACAAAGAAAGAGAATAGTTTTCTTTAAATTATTATTAATACAGCATCTATTTGAAGTTCTAAATATTTTTTTTGTAATGCATACACACACACGAGCAGTGAAGTGACAACTGAATACAATATTGTTTGTAATCACAAGATAGGTTTGACAATGTAAGGTTTACTAGTGTTATTAACAGGTCTCAGTTTTTAGGCTTACCTATTTTTGTGCAATTCAGAATGCATTGGCATCGCTAGGGTTAGTGTCACCCTGGGCAGATATCTTTGGTGTCACCCCCATGAAATCCAAGGGCAGGGGGATGGGGGGAGTAAACTCCAGTTACGTCACTACTGCATGACTAATGACTAGTGTTTAGCAATGAGAACGTTTAAGGGCCATAAACTGAACAGGAGAATACTTCTCAACTTTATTAATGATAAAATAAATAATCATAGTAATATTGATGAAACAAACTCAAATACCACTTTGAGTACAGGCAACAGATCCTACATTTATTCATCTTCAACAATGCAAAAAAAAAAAAAAAAAAAAATTGAAAAATAAAGAAAAAATTGCAATATCAGAGAAACACTAGTTCCAATTTGACCTTGAGTACAGGTAACATCTCATTGAATCTGATCTTACATTTCCTTGCCTTCAATCCTGGAAAATCATATATCACATCATCAAAATCAATGATTTTCCCTATATAGGCTTATTTATACTCTGTAATCATATAAGAGGCTATATAGAAATGAAGGATTCTTCTCTTATGTTAGTGCAGCATTGTTTTGGGCATTAGTGTCATCTTCCTTAAAGGTTCTATGGTGCCACCCCGTAAATGGTGTCACCAGGGGTGGCCTGCCCCCCCCCCCCCTCCTTTACAATGCCACTGTCACAATATATGTTAATTTTGAATCACATTTCCTTTGTTACTGATGGGTGTGTGAGACAAACATTGCACATACAGTATAGTCAAAAACTGAGAGTTCGAATCTATCAAGGTAAGAGACATTTAAAAGTACTGCGTGGGATTATCTAACTTGACTTCAATGATTGAAGCGAAAAATTTAAGGAAAAATGAAAAAACATTATATTACAAATCAAATAAAAACTGGTACTCACAAATGCCTGTCCTGAATCATCCTTTTGTAAAGTACAAATACAGCACATAAATCAATATGGCTTGCAGGGATAGTATTGAGCTGCTGGTAGGTTGATGGGCAATGATGCCTAGAAGCCACACTTTCCTACTCTTCCAACAAAAGCCTGCCTGGACTGTCGACAGGCCAATAACTGGACAGCTCAACAAGCCTAGTATGTGGTTTCAAAATGCCTCTGAAATGGATATTCTGAATATCTGTATTTTGATGTTCTGCTGTAGCAAAATATTTATTTCTAATACATAATTAAAACAAAACTACAGTACTGCATACAAAATGCACATTAAAATTATGGTACTGTATACCTGTCTGAAGATTTTATAAAACTGTTAATAAGTCCTAAAAATTACAGGGAATTTAATCTATTTTGATATGAGTAAATTTTAGCTTGAAACTGAAAACATGCTTAGGTTCAATTTTGTTTTAGCAAATTTGGTTCATATACTGAAGTATGTATAGACTTTACTTCAACTGTACTACTAATGTATGTAATACAATAATTTCCAGCCAATACCATATTTTTTTTATGAACACATCGGCCAATTCCCACCAAGGTAGGGTGGCCTGAAAAAGAAACACTTTCATCATTCACTCCATCACTGTCTTGCCAGAAGGGTGCTTTACACTACAGTTTATAAAACAGCAACATTAACACCCCTCTTCAGAGTGCAGACACTGTACTTCCCATCTCCAGGACTCAAGTCCGGCCTGTCGGTTTCCCCAAATCCCTTCACAAATGTTACTTTGCTCACACTCCAACAGCACATCAAGCATTAAAAACCATTTGTTTCCATTCATTCCTATCAAATACGCTCACGCATGCTTGCTGGAAGTCCAAGCCCCTCGCACACAAAACCTCCTTTACCCCGTCCCACCAACCTTTTCTAGGCCAACCCCTACCCTGCCTTCCCACCACTACAGATTTATACACTCTCGAAGTCATTCTGTTTCGTTCCATTCTCTCTACATGTCCAAACCACCTCAACAGCCCTTCCTCAGCCTTCTGGACAACAGTTTTGACAATCCTGGACCTCCTCCTAACTTCCAAACTATGAATTCTATATATATACAATTAATTTGGCAGAGGTAAACCCTATACATGTATTATGGACAACATTTTGGGCAGAACTAAAGCTAATACAGTTTTACAAGGTTGAAGAACAGCAATATTTAAAACACTATCAAGAACAATAACAGTTTACCTGGAGAGAGTTCCGGGGGTCAACGCTCCCGCGGCCCGGTCTGTGACCAGGCCTCCTGGTGGATCAGAGCCTGATCAACCAGGCTGTTGCTGCTGGCTGCACGCAAACCAACGTACGAGCCACAGCCCGGCTGATCAGGAACCGACTTTAGGTGCTTGTCCAGTGCCAGCTTGAAGACTGCCAGGGGTCTGTTGGTAATCCCCCTTATGTGTGCTGGGAGGCAGTTGAACAGTCTCGGGCCCCTGACACTTATTGTATGGTCTCTTAACGTGCTAGTGACACCCCTGCTTTTCATTGAGGGGATGGTGCATCGTCTGCCAAGTCTTTTGCTTTCGTAGTGAGTGATTTTCGTGTGCAAGTTCGGTACTAGTCCCTCTAGGATTTTCCAGGTGTATATAATCCTGTATCTCTCCCGCCTGCGTTCCAGGGAATACAGGTTTACGAACCTCAAGCGCTCCCAATAAATGAGATGTTTTATCTCCGTTATGCGTGCCGTGAAAGTTCTCTGTACAGTAGTGATAATAATAATACAGTAATGTCACACTAATTTTAATCAGAGGAAACATTAGTCATAGAGAGTCATATAGCACCTGGGAAATGGGAAGCATTCAAGATCGTGTCAGTGAGGATGATTCCAGTTCCTTGGATCAAGAACTCTCACTAGCATCAAGGAACCTCCCTTGAGGGGAGTAATGGTGAAGTATCAAAATAAAGCTAAGAGAGCTTGGGGAGCATTGAAAATTGGGTTGGGCAAATATTGTTAGTGGTATGGTTTGTGAAGGACCTGCCTAGTATGGGCCAACAGGCCTGCTGTAGTGTTCCTGCTTTATGTTCTTATTTAAACAAATACAGGGTTTATATTACAGTTGAGTGTAGTAGTTATTACATATACATCAAATAAAAAGGTTAAAAAAATGTAGTTATTAAAATGTTGACAGAAGATGGTTTACATATCACTTGAAATAAATGTCACCTCTTGACACAGGCAAAGATGACATGTAGTGTATATAGACACAGGTATTGCTACTTGATAGTGCTTACATAACTACATAATTTGATATATCATTTATTTCTTATATGTTGTCTGAGATTTGTGTTGCAAATCTCCATTACATCACAGATGTTAGGTTCAAATTATTATTCAGTGTATTGCAGATATAGTACTATGTACAGTATATGTATATTTAGTAGATATAGCAATTTAAAACTAACATTCATGAGGGAGTGCTCAAGCTATAACAGTCACATAGCACCTGGGAAATGAAGGCATCAGAACATCTCTCTTAAAGAGTGATGTCCTGATATCCCAGAGAGAAATTAGGTCTAATAATAACGATCCCAAATGGGTTAACAGGAGGCTAAAGCATCTATTAGGGGAGAAGAGGGGAATTTATAGGCACATCAGAAGAGAGGTTAACCTTACTGACCAATATGTTCAGCTTAAAAGAGAAGTAAAAAAGGGGATTAGAAAGGCTAAACGTGACTATGAAATTAGAGTTGCTAATGAATCAAAGACTAATCCAAAGGGGTTCTTTCAAGTGTATAGGACGAAGGTGAAGGAAAAAGTAAGACCTCTAAAAATTGGGGATGGACAGCTGACGGATAATGAACTGGAAATGTGTTCCTTATTTAATGACTATTTTTTGTCAGTTTTACACAAGAAGATGTAAATGAGATTCCAGTAATTAACAATTATTTAGTTCCTGATGAATTTAAATTAACTAATATTACTGTCACGAGGGACATGGTTATTAAACAGATAGACAAACTGAAGCAAAATAAGTCCCCGGGACCCGATGAGCTGTTTTCCAGGGTACTTAAGGAATGCAAGATGGAGCTTAGTCAGCCATTAACGAGTGTGTTTAATGCATCCATCCTTACCGGTGTTGTGCCAGAGTTGTGGAAGATGGCTAATGTGGTTCCTATATTCAAATCAGGGGATAAGTCCACTCCTTCAAATTACCGTCCAATAAGCCTGACATCTATAGGTAGGGAAGTTTTTATTGCATTTATGGATTTAGAAAAGGCATTTGATAGAGTGGATAGAGGAGCAATGTGGCAGATGTTGCAAGTATATGGAATAGGTGGTAAGTTACTAAATGCTGTCAAGAGTTTTTATGAGGATAGTGAGGCTCAGGTTAGGGTGTGTAGAAGAGAGGGAGACTACTTCACGGTAAAAGTAGGTCTTAGACAGGGATGTGTTATGTCACCATGGTTGTTTAATATATTTATAGATGGGGTTGTAAAAGAAGTAAATGCTAGGGTGTTCGGGAGAGGGGTGGGATTAAATTATGGGGAATCAAATTCAAAATGGGAATTAACACAGTTACTTTTTGCTGATGATACTGTGCTTATGGGAGATTCTAAAGAAAAACTGCAAAGGTTAGTGGATGAGTTTGGGAAGGTGTGTAAGAGTAGAAAGTTGAAAGTGAACATAGAAAAGAGTAAGGTGATGAGGGTATCAAATGATTTAGATAAAGAAAAATTAGATATCGAATTGGGGAGGAGGAGTATGGAAGAAGTGAATGTTTTCAGATACTTGGGAGTTGACGTGTCGGCGGATGGATTTATGAAGGATGAGGTTAATCATAGAATTGATGAGGGAAAAAAGGTGAGTGGTGCATTGAGGTATATGTGGAGTCAAAAAACGTTATCTATGGAGGCAAAGAAAGAAATATATGAAAGTATAGTAGTACCAACACTCTTATATGGGTGTGAAGCTTGGGTGGTAAATGCAGCAGCGAGGAGACGGTTGGAGGCAGTGGAGATGTCCTGTCTAAGGGCAATGTGTGGTGTAAATATTATGCAGAAAATTCAGAGTGTGGAAATTAGGAAAAGGTGTGGAGTTAATAAAAGTATTAGTCAGAGGGCAGAAGAGGGGTTGTTGAGGTGGTTTGGTCATTTAGAGAGAATGGATCAAAGTAGAATGACATGGAAAGCATATAAATCTATAGGGGAAGGAAGGCGAGGTAGGGGTCGTCCTCGAAAGAGTTGGAGAGAGGGGGTAAAGGAGGTTTTGTGGGCGAGGGGCTTGGACTTCCAGCAAGCGTGCGTGAGCGTGTTAGATAGGAGTGAATGGAGACGAATGGTACTTGGGACCTGACAATCTGTTGGAGTGTGAGCAGGGTAATATTTAGTGAAGGGATTCAGGGAAACCGGTTATTTTCATGTAGTCGGACTTGAGTCCTGGAAATGGGAAGTACAATGCCTGCACTTTAAAGGAGGGATTTGGGATATTGGCAGTTTGGAGGGATATGTTGTGTATCTTTATATGTATATGCTTCTAAACTGTTGTATTCTGAGCACCTCTGCAAATTATTATTATTATAATCAAGGGGGAAGCGCTAAACCCGTAGGATTATACAGCGCCCGGGGGGGGGGGGATGTGGAAGGCATTCAGGCTTAATTCAGGGAACTGGAGCACAGATCCAATTCCAAAATCAAGAGCCCCTCACCAACATCAAGGAACCTTCCATGAGGGGCACCTCTGCAAAAACAGTGATAATGTGTGAGTGGTGAAAGTGTTAAATGATGATGAAAGCATTTTCTTTTTGGGGATTTTATTTCTTTTTTGGGTCACCCTGCCTTGGTGGGAGACGGCCAACTTGTTGAAAAAAAAAAAATGATCAGAAGTCACCTTGAAGAGCATTAATTTGGTCATTTTATTTCCAGATAAAATGAAGCTTGTCTTTTCTGAGCACTGGCAGGTGCTGAATTATCCCTACTGGTTTAAGATTCCCTCATGAATGCAATATTGAGCACTGGTTTAAAATTTTGTCACAAAGGTCAAACTTATATCCTGAGTACCATCATAGAAGCTAAGACATTGTGTAATTTTAAAAATAGGTTGGATAAATACACGAGTGAGTCGGACCTGACTAGCTTGTGCTACTAGGTCAGATGCTGTGCTCCTCCCTTAGGTGAATGTGACTGACTTCACTGGGTTAAGGCATTGGCTTAAGCCAGTTGGAAAATTGGACCTGCCTCGCATGGGCCAGTAGGCCTACTGCAGTTCTTTCTTATTCTGTACTGTACTGTATATAGACTATGGCCTCAGAATCTATAATACATATTATTATTATTATTATAATCAAAAAGAAGCGCTAAGCCACAAGGGCTATACAGCGCTCTATAATACATAAATTTTTTGCAATTCCCTTAACGGGTTAAAGTTGAGTAAGTTTTTGAGTTGGCTATTGTCAATGTCAAATGCCTTTTACAGTTCAATAACTAGTCAAAAGTGCATATTGATTTTAATAAAGGACTGTGTACTGTCTAGCACTGATAATGCTATTGGTAATGTTTTGATTATTATTATTATTATAATCAAGGGGAAGCGCTAAACCCGTAGGATTATACAGGAGGTAATGTTTTGAATACAAATACAAACTGGCATGGATTTAAAATGTGTTATTTCCACTGCTTGAAATCTTTAAATGCCGACATCATTTTTGAGTCCATGACTGACCACCACTTTCAGGGTCAGAGTATAATGTACATAGTTTTACAAATAAAACTAATAAATGTGTTATAAAATATATTAATCTTTTTCTTCCCTTTTTAAAGGCCAAAAATTATTTTATGTATTAAATCAAATTAAAATAAGAAAAATAATTACCGGTTATTTTCATATAGTCGGACTTGAGTCCTGGATTATTATTATTATAATCAAGGGGGAAGCGCTAAACCCGGAGGATTATACAGCGCCTGGGGGGGGGATGTGGAAGGCATTCAGGCTTAATTCGGGGAACTGGAGCACAGATCCAAGTCCCTAAATCAAGAGCCCCTCACCAACATCAAGGAACCTTCCTTGAGGGGTTGAGTCCTGGAAATGGGAAGTACAATGCCTGCACTTTAAAGGAGGGGTTTGGGATATTGGCAGTTTGGAGGGATATGTTGTGTATCTCTATACGTATATGCTTCTAAACTGTTATATTCTGAGCACCTCTGCAAAAGCAGTGATAATGTGTGTGTGTGTGGTGAAAGTGTTGAATGATGATGAAAGTATTTTCTTTTTGGGGATTTTCTTTCTTTTTTTTTTTTGGGTCACCCTGCCTCGGTGGGAGACGACTGACTTGTTGAGAAAAAAAAAAAAAAAAAAAAAAAATTACATGACAATAGTAAAATGTTGAAATGATAATAAAAAATGAGCACTAAACCCACATCGAACATACAGCTTGAGACAAGTGTCAACTCCTATGGTCCAAGACCTTCAACGTTTTGCGAGTAGATTGAAACAAATATCAGAACAAAGATGGAAGTCTTGAAGAGAAAACTAGACCAGTACCTGCAGAATGCCATATCAGTCAGGTTGATGGCCATGTGCCAAAAGACCACTAGCAGAAAGCCTGGTTATCAGCCATTCTACACTCGTCTGGCCTCAAACAATAGAACTCTCAAAACCAGTCAGAGTTATGGGCATCAAAATGATCTTAGGAAGAACATCTCACTATTCATATTTACTTAAAACTGTGGTAACATCTGTACACTTTGAACTATTATATTATTCCACAGGCCCCTTAAATTCCTCTGGTTTTACTTTTCCCTACCAATTTATATTTTACAATTCTCAATTGCCTTTCATTTTTCTTTTTGGGCCACCCTGCCTTGGTGGGATACGGCCAGTTTGTTAACCCTTTGAGGGTCGACAGGCCCTCTCCGAAACTCGTTCTCAGGGTCGGCCAAATTTAAAAAAAAAAAAAAATTATTTTCTCTTATGAAAAGATAGAGAATCTTTTCCCGATCATAAAGACACCAAAAGTTTGAAATTTGATAGAAAACTTACGAAATTATGCTCTCGCAAAGTTAGCGGTCTCGGCGATGTTTACGCATCGGCGATTTTGCCCACTTTGAGCCCCATTTTCGGCCAATTTCACTGTACTAGTCGACAAAAAACATGAATATTTCGCTAGAACTCCATTTTTTCTATCGAATGGGTGCAAGAAACCACCCATTTATGAAATTCAACTATCCAGTACAGTGGTCAGAATTTAGCAATTTTGCCAATTTCACACAAATTTCAAAAGATGCCAATTTCCGAATAGGGTCCAGAATAAACAAGAAAGACATTCCTGGCACTAAAATGACATTTCCTCTAGTCATTAGTCACGTCTCAAGGCCCCTCTTATAATCTTTTGCTTTCCATTTTGAATTTTTATTCTCACAAAAAATATAAGATTTACTGTTATGCAGACTACTGCATTAGTGTAAAAAATGGTATAAATATTATTGGTGCACTTGTGAAAGAATATTAGACTCACCAGTTGACGTGTCTTGCACGCTTGGCACGATTTGTTTACTTTTGAAGTTTGGTAAAAATCGAACATTTCTGCTACTTTGAGCTCAATTTCAAGGCACCTTTCATTGTAAAACCAGCCAAAATCATCTCAATTTCTGTAATATGTCTTCCATTCTATAAAATGAGACCAAGAAAACTAGAATACAACAATAAATACCATACAAAAATACACTGCAAAGTCGCTGATTTATTCCAAAAAAATGGTCAAAGTTTTTTTTTTCTCATTATGCACTGTGTGCTGCAGGATTTTTTTTAGACTGTGCACACTGACCACATAGACCCATTCTTTCATATGAAGGCCTACCAGCTTTCTCCCACTAGATTTGAGGCCGCTAGAATTTATGCGTACTAGTACGTCAAAAACCCCTACGCGTAAGACGTACTAGTACGACGAAAACCCTCAAAGGGTTAAAAAAAAAAAAAAAAAAAAAATTCTCAATTTTAAGTGATAAGGATTTGGGAAAATGAAGCATCTTGAAGTACCCTGCTTGAACTAAAGTATTACCCATTAGACCTTTTAAAATGGCATGACTATTTCCTCTCATGCAGTCAACTAACCCCACAGCAATAAAAGTGGTGACAGAAAATAAAGGTATAAAAATAACGGGTTAAAAGTGTTTTACATTTATTCTAGGTAGCATCTTTCAAAATATAAACAAAAATATTCTAAACAAGATACATCAATCTTATATACAATATATTTCAGTGTGGCTTATTCCGAGATGACAGAAATTCGAGAGAATATCACATCACACAAGGAAATAGCCTCACACATACAAATTGGTCAATGTAAATATATTTACATATTAACAATAATTATTGCTACCTGTAGTTACTCAGGAAGCAATAAGAGTGCAATTAACAACTGGTTTCAGCCTTGATAGGCAATTTAAACATTTTCTCAAAAAGTAAATTTATATAGAATAAACAAGATTGAATCATTTGTACGTGGCTTTAACTTCATCCTTACTTGCACAGTTCATGGCCAACTTTCACAAGTAACGTGTTAGTTGCCTACTCAAGATATCCCCCACATTTTATTATGTGAAAAGGCCATGCTAAACAACTTGGATTAAATTTACCCAGAATTTACCTGAGGCTGAAAGGACTTCACCTACAACCTTCATGCCCATCTGGCAGATATATACAAGTACTTATGTATGTACAGTGCAACAATATTGGTCAAATATTCCTTTAAAGTGTCTACCTGAGACACTTTAATTCTTTACAGATTTCTCCTGTGCATCTAGTTCTTGGTACCTGTGGAACATCATTTTCTTAACACACTCTTTGTAACTATCTCCTACAACACTGTAAGTGCTCCCTTGCAGGCCTAAACCTGCTGTGGCAACTCTTCGTTCAGTTTCAATAATTGATGTTCGACCTTGATTGGCTTTGCCAAGACCTTGGCCATCAGTCCAGCCCATCTTCTTCAGTAGCTTGTTTCCAATGTTGTCACTGCCAATGCCCTGCTTGGTCGGCTCTTCATATTTAGAAGCGGCTACTTCCTCCCGCGAGGCAATATAACGTTCCTACAAAACAAAAACAACATTACCAGGCAAACTTGCCATTTTAAATAAATCTGAGAAAAATTGTGAAACCTTTGACAGTTTCTATCCTATCAAATGGAGGTACTTCCATAAAGTCCCTCATCTCCCAATTATTACAGCTCTCAAATATCCTTAAATATAAACCAGGTTCTACCAGTCACAGGCTTGAAAATGGGAAGTAGGTAACATCGGAACAGATAATATTTACATTAGAAGCCCTTCCATTCACACAACAGTAATTAGCTATGGATGTTTACCAGGAACAAGAGAAGTGGAGGAAGGGAATGGTCAAAAGAATAGAAAAAGTAGGAGAGCAAACTTGGGAGACAAAAATATTAGAAGAGGGAAATATAAGAGAGGGAGGGACTAAAATAGGAAAATGAGGTTAGGGAAAAGTGCTGGATTTACAAACATGTGAATTAAAAGATAAAGGGATGGGGACAGGAGGATAAAGGGAAGGGATTATTGTAATACTTATGTAAAGCACTAAACCCCTGTGAGGTCATTCAGTTTAAGTGATGGAAGCAGCATGATCCTCCATTCACTAATACTAAACAAACCCTACTCTTGCAGCTAGGTATCCAGGGAAGAGGAGAGGGGGCAAGAAAATGGATAGAATTGGGGAGGAAAGGTGAAAAGTAGAGAGGGAGAGGATGGGTAGAGGAAACAGAAAAGAGGAAAGGAGGAAGCAAAAAAGTGGGAGAAGAGGAAGAGAAGGAAAAGAGAAAAAGAAAAAGGAAGGGAGAAGAGATGAAAAAGGAAGGGAAAAAAGGAAAAGAAAAAGGAAGAGAAAAAAAAGGAAGGGAAGGGAGAAGAAAAAGGGAAATGAAAACAAAAGAAAATGGGAGAGAGAGAGGGAGGAAGAGAGAAGAGGAAAAGGAAAGAAGTGGGAGAAAAAAAAAAAAGTAGTGGCAGTAATACACACACAAGCCTGCCAAAATTTTTTTAGCTATCCATACAACAGGATGTACGTGCACTCTAATTTCTTTGTAGGCTTGAAAATGGTCTCTAGTTTGACTTTAATGGTATTAGTACCACACAACAATTTTTATAAACTATGCAAGTGCAGTTGACCAGACCACAAGGGAAAACATTTTAAATGTTTATGTGATGTATGGGGAATGGCAACCATAGCCGCAGAGAAAACAGTGGTGGTGAGGAATTGTAACTCCTCATCTGAAGAGAAGGAATCAGCAGGAATACTTGGTGAAACAAGGTATGTTGTGCATAAAGTAGCAAATCTGTATGTTCAAACTGCCACTAGGATCAGCGAAGTCAGGTGTAAGAGCAAAGAGTAATGAGAGCAGAGAAATGATAGCTGTGGATGAGATCATTACTGTCCCATCAAACTCTTTCATTCTGGACAAAGAGCTGATAAAAATACCAAGATCTATACAAAAGATATTGCAGATCTAGGTGTGCTGGAATACCAGGGGTAGTAAAGTAAGGAAAGTAACTTGTATGTAAGTCAATACAATCCTTCCCAGAGTAAATGAAGAGTTCAAATAGGTTGAGACATGATTAAAGCTTTCATTCAGTTGATACATTGCATGAAGGACAGGTACAAACAGATGGTACCCATTGTCTAAACTGACAGGCTGCACTGTAGTGGAGTACAAATGCAGTACCTGTGGTAGAGGTTAACATTGACTATGAGGCTGCTGAGTAACTCTGGAGGAAGAATAACATGATGTTTTAAGTCTGACATAGTTGGGTCACACCTTGATTATACAACAAACCATCTTTAACTTTCACATAAAATTTTACTTTCCCAAATAAAAACAAGACACCAACAAGAATATGAGGGGTGTGCTTCACTGCAATTAAGGCAGGAAGAGAAGTCACAAATTGGGTTATCATTGGTTTCTCCAGAGGTAACACTTCCAGAGACCTACAAAGTTTTGCCAGGTTGCTATATTGCCAGCATTTATTGCACTGTTCTACTGGTTTGAATTCTCTCACCAGCAAGTGTTAACTTGCTATACAGTATATATTATTATTATTATAATCAAAAAGAATGCTAAGCCACAAGGGCTATACAGCAATATATACAGCATATAATGAGGAGGGAAGTTAATGGCAATCAAACATCAGGTTAGCTATACTGATTGGATATCATATCCATATTCAAACAGAGCAGATATATTTCAACTTCAGTGATTAAGAGGTGTTCAAATTCTAATTGTACATGAATGTCCAAAACAAAAACACACAAACAGTGAAGTATTGCTTTATGGATGACAGTGGTATCACAGCATGAACTGAGGGTGGTTTATCTGTATAGTCACTACTGTCCTGCCAATGGTATGGAGATGCCTTATTTTATCAGCATTATTACCCTTGATGCAGATCCCATTTTTCAGTGGGGAAAAGTTGTCATAGCTTTGTTTGCTATAATGATTTTTTTTTTTTTTTTTTGGCCAATGTTGTTTTGGAAGATTTCTGTTAGTGGCGGAAACCTCCCCCACTAGCGCATTTCTCAATAAGTGAGGTACATGTGCTATGTCAGCATCATCACTGTCACTTTCTAGGTAGATGGCTTCAAGACACTGTTCAGAGATCAGTAGAGGGTGAGGCAGTCACTGGATTCCAGAGAATTAGGTAACCCCCATCATCATGAAGTTAAAAATAAGGGAATGAGGTGGTAGCTTCTAGAATAAGCAAAAACACCACAAACCCACCCTGAACCAAGGTCAACTCCACTGCAAGTAGTAGTGCTGCTGTTCTTTGGAAATCACCTTATACCCTACCTGGTGTACACCACAATGCCACTTTCAGAACCAACTGAGCAAGGTTCAGCAAAACAGTCTGTTTAGGCAATCATCTTTTAGGTAATAATGGCAGTGTATTTATATTGGTAGAATTACTGACTATGTTAAGAAAGGCCACAAATACAACTTGTGTGACATTTTAACAGTTTGATAAAGCTCTTGGAGAGCAAAACATTGCCACAATAAAATGTCACATTAGTTGCATTTGTGTTCTTTACCTCAATGGCAGTGGGCAAACTGGCAAGAATGCCAGGTGTCATACACCTCCAGTTGTCACTCCTAGTTCCACAAGCAAACTCCAGGAGTAATAACATCTTAAAATGATAAAATTTCCTTCAGGTGAGTGACTCAACCATCACAGAACTACCAATGGAAATTACAATACAACACAGCTGATTATGATCCCTTTTCTTCCCCTCTCCAAGAGCTAGATTTCACAAAATGGGGAAATATTCCCCACTTATAAGTCAAAAGGGAAGGGAGAGTCAGGAAGGTACTGAAACTACATAACGCTGCATATTTATATATGATAATATACTGAAGTTTCTTTAGATCTAATAAACATTACCTTCAAATTATATTAGGCACAAGAAAACTCTAATGTATATTTTTCTAATTCCATTAAGATTAAAAAAAAAAAAAAGTATCTTTCTTCCTGTCATCCCTAAAGAAAAATACAAATTAGTGTTTGATAGTGGGTACAAACATTCACACTTCCAAACAAAAACTTTATGCTAAGATACTGGCCAGAAGTAGTACATGCAAAAATGCTACTAATTTTTTCTGTTGAGGGAACTTAATGACAGCTAAATTAGTTCAAGGTGATAATGTGCCTTATGGCACAGTGTATATGACATGCTTATGAGACTTGATTTACTGGCCATTCAAAAGGCACTTATTACTCAACTCACAGCGCAAAATAGGCTTTAAGTCACTACAATCCAAAGTGCAAGAAAAAAGGGAGGGGGCAGTGACTACATAGAAAGAAAATAATTTGAATAAATCCAGCACACTTTTATCATACTACAATAATGCCCTGCAAATATACTTGCAATGAAATACCAAATGAAGTGTAACATTTTTCACCCAAAAGAAAAATGTCAAATCTAACAATTTTATGCTATTTACTGTTCTAGCACCATAAAACTTGACCCTCTCCACTATATGGCATCAAAGATATCAAGAAACTATAAATGGGAAAACTTAACCTATACATTCACAGAAGTATTAAATATGGATAGAAGATCCATCAGCCAGGTTGTTGGATGAACCACTGCTATTATTTCCTTGCCTCGGTGGGAGACGGCTAACGTGTTGGAAAATAAAATGAGGACACGAACCTACGATCCAGATTTTGTTTGTGCACACACACACACACACGCGCACACACACACACACACACTCTCTCTCTCACACACACTCACTCTCACACACACTCACTCTCACACACACTCACTCTCACACACACTCACTCTCACACACACTCACTCTCACACACACTCACTCTCACACTCACACTCACACACTCCACACTCACACACTCACACTCACACACACACACTCACACACACACACACTCACACACTCACACTCACACACTCACACTCACACACTCACACTCACACACACACTCACACTCACACACTCACACTCACACACTCACACTCACACACTCACACTCACACACTCACACTCACACACTCACACACTCACTCACACTCACACACTCTCTACTTAAAAAATTATAGCCAACATTTACACAATCTTCAAATTACTGCTACTAAAGACCACTTAATTTTTTTGGCAAATGGTTGCCTCTCTCATTAATTGTGAAATGCAAACTCAAGCAAAGCATTTCTGAATCCACAAGGCTAGATACACTTTGCTTTTATCAACATTCTTGCTTCAGGGAATGCCAAAAGCAGACAGAATGTTTGAATAAGTTCAGATATTGTGATTGGCACAATTCATCACTCTCAAATTTGTGAAGACCTTGGCTCTCTCGACCTCTCTTCACCTGACACCAACTTCTCACTAGTAACTTAACTGTCCAGAGATGATCAGAACTCTGAAGTTTTATACTGATTTTGTTGGTTAGTTAATTTAAAACCCTTATTAATACAAAATACTTAGAGCTCAAGATAAATAATCTTTTTTTTTAAAACTGAATGATCATCTCCTGCCAAGGCAGGGTGACCCAAAGAAAACGCATTCACTTTCATTTATTCACATGCTGTATTTCCAGAAGTGTGCTGACATCACATGCAGACTGCCCTCCAATTGATGCATCCCCACCACTCCTCCAGAATGCAGTCACTGCCCTTCCCACCTCCTGCACTCGTCTGAATCCCTGAATCCCTTCATAAAACATGCCTTGTTCACTTGTCAACAGCACATCCATTAAAACCACTTAAGTCTCCACTCACTCCTAACACATACAAACCTGCTGGATGCTCAAGCTTCTTAACTGCAAAACCTCTTTCACCCCCTACCTCCAACTTATCCAGGGACAACCCCTACCCCTTCCACCTTTCATCATTATTTTCTAATATGCAAGTAAATATAATAACAAAGATCATATTAATTTAAAACCTGTACACCAAAATTCCAATTTATGGATGTCTTGCAGATGACTCAAAAAAAACTGTTACAATCCACTGCTTCAAATTTCAATGCAAGTATTTTTTACATGGATTTTGTTTGCTACCTTTAAATATACTGGATTTAAGAAGCCTTATTTGAGTGTGAAAGCTGGAGTTGTACGACTGCCAGTATGAACCTTAAGTTTGTTGGGTGCAGGTACACTGGGCTCTCCATACTTTTGCCGTCTCTCTTTGGCTCTGTCTCTGTACTGGGCAGACGTCAACCCAGCAGAACCACCGTTTTCCCCGCCTTTTGATTTCTTCATTGCCTCCAAGTTTGTCTTGTGTAGGTCCGATAGCTGTACATGTCTAGAAAAAAGGAAAAAAAAATTTTTTTATTTATGTTAACCCAAACATCAAATACAAGTAGTTTTTATAACAATCATATAATGTAAAAAATGTTTAATTCACATACTTCAATGACTTCGCAGCATTTGTCTTACCTGCCAAGAGCTTCTTTGTTGGGAAACTGTCTCTTACAAAGAAGGCAAGCCATTTTCACACAATCTACCAGCTTGTCCTCCCACCTGCCATCATCAGCAGAGAGATTGCCCAATCCAGCTGCACTTTCCTCTTCACTGTCACTTCCTTCACCACCGTAAGCTGCCACCAGCCCAGATTTCTTAAGTCCTGCTAGTATCTGTAAAGTCAGTAAAAGTATACTTAGCTCTGACAGTAGCATATATTACATCAACAGAAAATTTAATTGGTCTCTCATCCATGGTTTACGTATGTTAAACCAATGCCAATCTTTCTCTTTGGTACCATTTTGACAACCTATTAGTTGCACAGTAATTAATTTACCATGAAACAGAAAAAAACCTATACATGAATATACATACAATATAATTTAACAATTCTGCAGATTTCAACAAAAATAAATGTCTATATTCAGAAATAAATCTTACAGGGCTTGATATATTTTAACCCATAAGTGTCATATAATACCTAGAGAATGGGAGGCATTCAAGTTTGATCCATGGAACGGAATGACAATTCATACTTTGGATCAAGGCACCTCACTTGATGGGTAAGCATGAAAAACATTTTCAATATATCAAATTCCCATGGACCCAGTTGTTCCTTGCTTCCTGCTAAAGATGCATTCCACAGCAGCTATATTAAGCCCAATCAGGCCAGTAACTCTAATTCTGCACAATAAAAAAATACTCACCAGACTTTGCAAACCACACCACTCCCATGTGTGAAATTTACCAATTATTAGGAGCCCCTGAGAGCAAATCTGCAGAGAGAAACCTTCACATACTTAAAATTAATATTAAACTTACAGGAGGTGCTTCCTTCTTCATATGCATATGGAATACTTGGGCCTGCTTTTCCACCAGTGATGCTCGATCCCTTCGCTCTAGCAGAACTGCAAAAGCAGCATCAGCAGCCCCTGTACCTCCACCTTCACCCTTGGCTCCTCCTGCAGGTTCAGCTGATGCAACCTTACTGATTACGGAGCTCTCGTTGCGCTTGTTCTGTGCCTTGGCCCATCTCTCCATATCTTTTGCAATTTTCTTTGCCACTTTCACCTATTACAAAAGTGATGAATTATCAAGCTTATAGCACCATACTGTATATTTTTTTTTTTTTCAACAAGTTGGCCGTCTCCCACCGAGGCAGGGTGACCCAAAAAGAAAATACTTTCATCATCATTCAACACTTTCACCTCACTCACACAAAATCACTGTCTTTGCAGACACCCAGATACAACAGTTTAGAAGCATATATAACATACGCCTCCAAACTACCAATATCCCAAACCCCTTCTTTAAAGTGCAGGCATTGTACTACTTCCCATTTCCAGTACTCAAGTGCAGCTATATAAAAATAACTGGTTTCCCTGAATCCCTTCACTAGATATTACCCTGCTCACGCTCCTGTTGAATTATCATTGAAGCAATAGTTAAATTCTAGCTGCATTATATCTTCAAACTCCCTCTTTATAATCATCAACTAACCTTATCCTGTTTATCTTTCTCCTTTTCCTTTTTGTCTCCCTTTTTGCCCATGTGGCCATCTTCCCCTATTGGTGCAGGAAGGTATGTTGACTTCTCTGCATCCCAATACAAGTACTGACCACTCTCAGCATTGTAATAATACTGACTGCTGGCATCATAGTACAGTCTAGTTGAAGGATCATAATAATATCCAGAAGTTTCATCATACTGGTAGGTGCTTACATCTGGAGGGGCTACAAGAACAAAATCATTACAAAGTATTCAACATACAAGGTACTGAGGTGACAAACTCACCAAATGTCACTTAAGACCACCTACAAATGTCTGCAACTTAATCTTGGTAATAAACTATACAGTTTTGATCAAACTGGTTTCATTGTAAAGATCAACATTTTTGTACAAAAACAATTTTGGCTCACCACGTATTTCTCACTCACTAGCAAGTTCGTTAGTTTTCTTCTGTGCCTTGTATAAATATAAAAAAAATACTACATTGGCTATTTCTCACCAGTGCAGGATATGCCATAGAAATACACTCAATATTTATTAAATAGCTGTCTTGTAACAATGCATGGCAATCATACTCCAAATGACTCTCTTAATGGCAACATCCCTAACCATCCTCCAGTGTGCCTTCCAGCCCTTACCATTCAAAACCTTCACCACCTGCCTCTAATAAATTGCAACTCTCAAATTTATTAGGTAATTATTTCTCCTTTAAATTGAAAAATAGTGACATAGACAATTATTATTATTATAATAATCAAAAAGAAGCGCTAAGCCACAAGGACTATACAGCACTGCAGGGTAGGGAAGGAAGCGAGGGTATTGGATGGCAGAAGGGAGGAGGGATGATCAGTAGGTTACAGAAAACAGCGGGGCAGGGGATAGTAAGGGGGTAGAGGGTAGCAAGAGACTGAAGTAGAAAGGGCTGAAGGTATCAGAATATGTGAAGTCAGTTGTCAAAAAGTCAATGAGAGAGTCCGGATGAAAGATGGGTCCATCAGCGAGAAGGGAAGGTAAAGAGAGAGCAGCGGAGCGAAGACGACGACGGAGGTAAATTCTGTGTGCTCGTTGATAAAGTGGGCAGTCCAACAGAATGTGGCTGACTGATAATGGAACTTGGCAATTCTCACAGAGGAGCAGGGCGCCTCTCCATGAGATATCCATGAGTAAGACGAGTATGGCCAATGCGAAGACGTGAGAGAGTAGTCTCCCAACCTCGACACTGGTGATAAGAAGACGGCCAGTAACCTATACTGTACTTGGTTTAATAGATTGAAGTTTGTTGCCGAGCATAGTAGACCAACGGTGTTGCCAACGGGTGTGAAGGTGGGAAGACATTGCAGCAAAATAGTTTGTAAATGGAATACCTCTATATGAAACTGGTAGGTCATGTACTGCTGACCGCGCAGCAGTGTCTGCCTGTTCATTGCCCTGTACGTCAACACGACCAGGGACCCAACAAAAAACAATATCTTTATGCTTGGTAAAGATGCGGCGTAGCCAAAGTTGGATACGGAGGACTAAGGGGTGAGGTGTATCAAATTTATGTAAAGCCTGTAAAGCACTAAGGGAGTCTGAGACAACCACAAACGATGACACAGGCATAGATGCAATACGGATAAGTGCTGCAAGGATGGCATACAATTCAGCAGTAAAAATACTAGCCGAAGATAGTAAATGCCCTCGTACGACGCTGTCCGGAAACACTGCTGCGAATCCTACGCCGTCAGAAGACTTAGAGCCATCTGTGTATACAGCAATGGCATGAGAATGAGAGTGAAAGTGGTCAAGAAAAAGAGAGCGGGACGCGACCGTAGACAGTTGGGCTTTCGAGCAAGGGAGAGAGAAAGAACAGAGTCGAACAGCTGGAACTTCCCAGGGGGGTAGGGAAAAGTGAGATGCTACATGAACATAGAAAGGTGGTAATTAAAGAGAAGACAAGAGCGAATGAAGGTGAAGAGAGAAGGGACGGAGTAAACAGGGGCGGCGAACAAATAAAGAATGTCTACTAATATCAGTGACCATTCTATAAAAGGAAGGACTGCAGAGATCATGAGAGCGTACATATTAGCGAAGGCAATGGGCATCACGGCGATCGGATAAGGATGGAACGTTCGCTTCTGCATAGAGGCTCTCGACAGGGGAAGAGCGAAAAGCACCAAGGCATAAACGTAATCCTTGGTGATGAATGGGGTTAAGGCTAGAGAGAGTAGCAGGAGATGCCGCTGAATAGATCTGGTCACCATAATCAAGTTTCGATAAAATAAGGGTGGAATGTAGGCGAAGGAGGGTTCGACGATCAGCTCCCCATGATGGATGAGCAAGGGTTTTAACCCTTTGACTGTTTTCGACGTATAAATACGTCTTACGAGCCAATGTTTCTGACGTATATATACTCAATAATTCTAGCGGCTTCAAATCAAGTGGGAGAAAGCTGGTAGGCCCACATGTGAGAGAATGGGTCTGTGTGGTCAGTGTGCACCACATAAAAAAAATCCTGCAGCACATTGCATAATGAGAAAAAAAAAACTGATCGTTTTTTTGGAATAAAACGCCGACTTTGATGTGTATTTTCGTATAGTATTTATCGTTGTATTCGCGTTTATATGGTCTTAGGTGATAAAATGGAAAACATATTACAGAAACAGAGATGATTTTCATTACTTTTATGATGAAAACGACCTTGAAACTGAGCTCAAAGAAGCGGAAATGTTCGATTTTTACCAATGTTCAAGAGTAAATAAATCACACCACACGTCCAATACACGTCAACTGGGGAGTCTAATATTCTTTCACTAGTGCACTGATATTATTTATACCATTTTTACAATAATGCAGTCGTCTGCATAACAGTAAATTTTGTATTTTTTTGTATGAATAAAAAATCAAAATAGAAAGCAATAATAATATAAGAGGGGCCTAGAGATGTGACTAATGAACAGAGCATATGTTATTTTAGTGCCACGAATGTCTACCTTGTTTATTCTGGACCCTATTTTGAAATTGGCATCTTTTTTATTTTGCGTGAAATTGGCCAAATTGCCAATTTCTGACCACCATATTGGGTAGTCCGAATTAGTAAATGGGAGGTTTCTTGTACTCAGCTGATAGATAAAATGGAGTTCTAAAGAAATAGCTATGAGTTTGGTCAACTGGAACAATGGAATTGGCTGAAAATAGGGCTCAAAGTCGGCGAAATCGCCGATACGCATATGTCGCCGAGACCGCTAACTTCGCGGGAGCATAATTCCACGAGTTTTCGACCAAATTTCGAACTTTTGGTGTCATTACCATCGGGAAAAGATTCTCTATCATTTCATAAGAAAAAATATTTTTTTTTTTTTTCAAAAATTGAGCGACATAGAATGACAGTTTCAGAGAGGGGCCTGAAACAGTCAAAGGGTTAAGAAGGTCCAGCCGGCTGTGACAAGTTGCCTTCAGAGAGGTAATGTGAGGTTTCCAGGATAACCTACGATCAAAGAGGAGGCCCAGAAACTTGACTATCACGTTCAGGGATATGGGAGCCATAGAGGTACAAAGGATGATCGGAGATGACAGAGCGTCTAGTGAAAGTAATTTGGTGGGTTTTAGTGCTGGAAAATTTAAACCCACGTGTGGTGGCCCAATTGGAAACACGGTCGACTGCATGCTGGAGAGAAACTGTAATGAGTTGACAGTCAGCGCCTGCACAGGCAATAGCGAAGTCATCAACATAAGAGTGATGACCAAATATTTGATGGAAGACTAGAGGCCAAATCATTAATAGCAAGGAGAAAAAGTGTTGTGCTCAGAACACATCCCTGGGGGAAACCTTCAGCTTGGGTAAAGTCCTGGGAGAGCACATTATTAACCCGAACACGGAAATGCCTGTCAGTTAAAAAGTTCTTAAGGAAGGATGGTAGATTGCCTCGAAGGCCTAAGGAGTGGGCTTGGGCTAAAATATTATACCTCCAAGTTGTGTCATATGCCTTCTCAAGGTCAAAAAATATGGCAATAACTAAGTGGTTATTCGCAAAGGCATTACGAACATACGTATCCAAGCGTAGTAAGGGGTCTATGGTAGAACGTCCCTTACGAAAGCCATATTGACGAGTGGAGAGACTGTTGTGTGTCTCTAAATACCACACTAAACATCTATTTACTAGGCGTTCCATCACTTTGCAAACTGCACTGGTAAGAGCAATGGGACGATAGTGGGAGGTTTCATGTCCCGTAGTGCCTGGTTTGCGGAAAGGGAGAACAATGGCGGATTTCCACAGCTGTGGAAGAACTCCTTGTGACCAAATAAGATTGTAAAGGCGTAATAGGACTGCAAGGGCTGACTGATGTAAATGTTGTAGCATACGAATATGAATGTCGTCCGGCCCAGCTGCCGATCATCGGCAAGCTGAGAGTGTTGCCTCCAGTTCTTGAAGTGTAAAAGGCACATTATACTGTTCTTCTCTGAGAGAAGAAAAGTCCAAGGGTGCTAACTCTCTGGCAGACTTAGAGGAAAGAAATGAGGGGCATAGATGGAGTCCCTGAGAAATATGGACCAGATGATTGCCAATTTCATTGGCAACATCTAGTGGGTTTGCTATTTCAACACCGGCAACCCGCAGAACAGGAGCCGGGTCAGGAGAATATTTACCACTCAGTTTTCGTACTTTTTTCCAGACTGCACTCATAGAGGAAGCAGAGGTGATGGTGGAGACAATCTCGCCAGCAAGTGCGTTTAGCATCACGGATGACACGGCGAGCGATCGCACGCTTCTGCTTAAAATCAAGAAGTCTCTCTGTGGTTCTATTGTACCGGTACCTGCCCCATGCAGCGCGTTTCAAACGTACTGCACGAGCACAAGCAGGAGACCACCAAGGCACGCATTTCTGAGAATGCCTGCCCGAAGTTTGGGGTATAGAATGAGAAGCTGCGGTTAAAACGGAGGACGAGAAGAGGTGTAAAAGCTCATCGATGGAGGACGAAGAAGGAACCTCTCTAAAAACAGTTAGGTGTGAGTAAAGGTTCCAATTTGCCTGATCAAATTGCCAGCATGGGATGCGAAGAGGTGGTGAATATGAAGGGGAAGTAAGAATGATTGGGAAATGATTGCTGTCATGTAAGTCCGGGAGAACAGACCAAGTGAAGTCTAATGCGGTGGAGGAAGAGCAGACTGAGAGATCGATGCAAGAAAGAGTGTGAGTCCGAGGATCAAAATGGGTGTGAGTACCTGTATTTAAAACATGGAGAGGGTGGGTGGCAAGAAAAGCCTCTAACTGAATGCTACGGGAATCACAGTGAGACCCCCCCCCCCAGAGGAAATGGTGGGCATTAAAATCACCAAGTAACAGAATCGGCGGCGGTAATGACGAAACAAGAAAGGCAATATCCGGAATAGATAATGCCCGAGAAGGAGAGAGATATAAAGAACAGAGCATATACCACCTATGCAAGTGGATACGGGCTGCTGTGTAATGCAGCGAAGTACGAACAAATAGCTGATGGTACGGAATATCAGTGCGTAGAAGGGCACTTTCATTAAAGGTCCCATCAGGAAAAGGATCTGAAGAATACAATAAATAATAGCTTGAGATGGGAGAGATAACACCAGGGTGTAATTTTGGTTACTGTAAGCAAACACCAACAGGGGAAAACTGGGAGAGTAACATCTGAAGCTCACCCCAATTACCCCTGAGGCCGCGTATATTCCACTGTAAACAGGCCATGATTGGCAATGATAAAGATACCTGAAATCCGCAGGCAAGGGTTCCTACGGACTAGAGGGGTTAGAAAAGTCCACATGCGGAGGCAGTGGAAAACGTTCAAGCAGTGAAGGAACGGTGCGCTGTGAAGAAAGGAGCTGCGCAGATGGAGCAGAGGAGAGAGAAGGAGCGGAGGGTGGATCAGTGTCCATTGATGGTTTGGTCTCTGCAATATATTCAGAGATTGCTTCAAGTGTTTCGGAATTCAGAGACGTCGTATGGGAGACAATATTGGAAATGGTAGGGGGAGGATGAGAAAAGATTGGAACTGTATTGGACTCTACAAAGGTAGGGGAAGGGGGCGAAAGGGTGGAGGGAACTGGAGAAGCGTGGAAGGGGACAGAAGAGGCAGAAACCTGGGAGGTGGCAGAAGAGGAAGAAACTTGGGAGGGAACAGGGGAGGAAGGTACAGTACGAGGAGGAGGGTGAACCTCTACACTTGTAACAGAGCCAGTGAGAGGGGGAGAACCAGGTACAGAGACAGGGAAGGTAAAATGAAGAGGTGGAAGATGGGTAGGAGGTGTTAACGGACCTTTTTTTGACTTTTGAGAAGTAGTGGGACGATTGGGAGGAGGTGTCATACAAGATTTCGTCGCTACTGAGGCTTGCGAGAGAGAACACGAAGAAGCGAGATCAGACTGAGGCGTTGAAGTAGGGACGTCTGAGCCGAGGACAGCAAAAGAATTAGATACAGGAGTGACTATGGGAGAGGTAACCACAGAGGTGGGTGCAGAAGATGGGATACCAGAAGTGGGGGGACGTTTTGAAACACGGGAATAAGAAACACGAGGTAGTCTCCCTTGAAGGCAGAGATGAGAAACTGCCATGGCATAAGGGAGACCTTCTGCCTCTTTGAGGTAACGGATTTCCCACTCGTTTAAGTGACTTGACAACGGCGAGAGTACGAAGGGTGAGCCTCATGACAATTAAGGCAAGAGGGAGGTCGATTGCAAGACGTATTAGAATGGTCATCGGCACCACAGACTGGGCATTCGGCGATAGACCTGCAATATTTCGCTGGATGGCCAAATCGCCAGCAATTTCTACACTGTTGCGGTGTAGGGATCACCTTTCGAACTTGTAACCGATGTCCTGCTACATAAACTGAGGATGGGAGTTCACGGCTGTCAAAAGTTAAACGAGCCACACTGCTAGGGTATCGTCTCCACCCGCGGGCAGGAAGAACATAAGTGTCTACCTTGAGGATTGGGAGATCTTGGAGTTCCAGCTGTTCAAGAATGTCAGTGCCACGTGTCTGGAAATTTTGTTGAACTATGGTATGGGGCAGAATGACAGTACCACTACAAGAATTGAGGGAATGATGTTTTTCAATAGTGACAGGAACAGTATCGATATGGGAAAGACGAGAAAGCTCATGAGCCTGGGTAGCATTCTGTACGGTGATGATGCGCGTACCGCTCTTAAGAGCATGAAAAGAAATATCTTTACCAACATGGCGTAGGAGTGCCTTGCCAATACTATGGTCAGAAAGATAGGCAGTAGAGGAAGTCGGTCGTAAAGTGAAGAATTTAGTCCATTGTGCAGTCTGAAACTGAGTGTGGAAAGGTAGTGAAGGACGTGTCGATCTTTTCTGAGAAGAACGAGAAGGTGGAGGAGTATCATCAGCAGGTAATTGTCGTTGGCGTTTAGGCGTGGGACCAGAGTTGGTCCGACGTGGAACGGGTCGGCGATTCGAAAATTGCCGCACTGTAGAGGGAGAGGCCGGAAGCATAGTCAGAGGAGAGCGAAGGTCAGATAAATCAAAGGAGTCAGTCGAGGCCTCAGTACCTGAAGCGGGTGAGGAAACAGCACCGGCAAGAGGTACAGAGGCATGAGGAGTGTCCGAAGAGTGGTCCAAAGACGAGGCGGGATCAGAACGGGGTGCGGTATCAAGAAGGGGCCCGGGGGTAGCAGGTTCATGGACTAGGGCTGCCATGGTTAGGTTACTTCTTTGTTTTTGTTTTTAAGAAAAAAAAGAAAGAAAAGAAAATAAAAATAAAAAAAAGAATAAAAAAGAGGGGGACCAGGGATGGATAGTTCCTAGGAGGAACAAAAGGGCCAGAAATCTCCCTCCGCGCCAAGAGGACCTCAGCACTGCAAGTAGCGCAGATGCATCATGGAACCCGTGCCATACCCTACCCATCTTGCCAGTAAACCGGCAATCCGGGATAGCAACCTCACATCTGCCGAGCTACCTCGGTGGACAAAAGAGGGCGGCCGGAAATCCACCACAAAGCATACGTCCTTCGGCCACCACCCCCGGACTCCGAAAGGTGGCTTCCAGAGATACACCCGTCGCCCGAGAGACACCCAAAGCCACCCTCCGGGATACTGGAGAGGGATCGGGACATCCCCAGGCAATCCAGATTCCACGGTAAACTACGCCACCGCCAAGAACCTCAACGGAATGGGATGGACCTCGGTACCCTCCCCCCTACCTAGGAACTAGCGTGCCTGTGGGAAAAAAAAAGGCCAAAAAAGGAAGGGGTGGGGAGGAGGAGGAGGAAAGGAAAAAGGGGAGGATGGGGAGGATGGGATAGGGAACGGGGGATTGGGGGGTAATTAGGTTCGGTCTGAGAAAGGAGACCGACAGGTCTAATTCCTCAGACCAAGAGCCTCTTCACCACGCCAAGGAGCCCCCCTTGAAGAGGACTGAGACAAGAATGCTTGTCTTTTTGGTAACAATGAGATACTCTAACCGACTAAAGGTAACTCAAGAGGAAGATGTGATTTTTCTCTCACACTTAACCATCTCGAGGCTTCAAAAGTGATAATGTCAATAAATGAGCTTTAATAAAAGCTCCTTAAAAATTATTTATACAAAATATAAAATTGAAATAAATTGTAACTTGCTTTCTTTTTTAGTGTTTAGGGAGACTGCAGTAAATGATGACATTGTACAGCACTCATTCCAAATATTAAAATTCTATTACAAATACATACATCACTATCCACAGTGTGTTCTACCATTTATGGGAAGTTCATTTTAAATGAAGAAAAATGACCACTTTTCTCTCTAGCCTTATAAAATCCATTACTGTACCTTACTCTTAACATGTATTTTTTTTATATTTGTGATTAAACACTTGTTTATAAACTTAATGATTTAGTATAATCAGAAAAACAAATGGTTAGTAAAAACTGTATTTCAATTCACACATTTCCTTCATAGCTCCCTCCACATATACATTAATAAGCCTAAGAGACATTACATAACCTAACCTCATTCTATGAAGAAATTTCTTTGCTCTTTAACAGTCTGCTACATTTACAGAAAATAAGCAATCTGCAAATATTTTTCTAAAACTTGACTCCTGACCTATTATGCACTTTCCATTAGCTTCTAAATTTGTATGCCAGATATACTAAAATAATCTAACCACCTACTTTTGCTCCTTCCATATACTCAGGACACTAATTTGTACTATTTTTTTTCTTTTACAAGACTACTTTTTAAATTTCTTTCTAGTAACTGGGAGACATTCATTCATTTCATGAAAAGTAACAATCACTAAGGGATTCAGGGGAAACCAGTTTGTGAGATTTAGAATCCTGGAGTAGAAAGCACACTGCATGCACTCTGGAGGGGTGGAGATGTTGCAGTTCAGAGGCTCACTTGAACTGTGATGTTTGTACACCCCTGGCAAGACAGCTATTGAACATTTCCTTTTTGTGTTACCCTACCTTGGTAGGAAATCACCAATATAGTAAAAAAAAAAATTATAACATTTAGGTTTTACAGCTTTGAAGCAATTCCATTTATCAATAAAACACAGCTTTAACTAAGTACGTATTAAGAGTATTCCTACATGCTGTAAACCTACGGTATGTGGGGTAGTCTCCCGTTTGAATTTTAACACCATCACAGTTTGTCGAACTCGTTGAAGCCTGAGTGTACGTCTGATCAGTAGCTGTTGTTGTAGAAGTGGTTGCTGTAGTGTATGTGCTTTGTGAAGCAGCAGCTGCGGCGGCGGCTGCTGCTGCTGCTGCAGCGGCAGCATTTGTTGAAGCAGTTGCTGCAGACTTCTGATGCATTGCTTGCAGAGCAGATTGAGCAACAGCTGCTGCAGCATTAACAGAATCTGACTGGTTTGAACTGCCCTGCTGCTGTTGATTTTGTTGATATGCCTGTCACAAAATTGGGCAACTTAAAATTTACCTTACTACTCAATGAATTTTTTTTTTTTTAAACATTAAGAGGTTAATCACTTCAGAGAAACATAGACGGTTACGTAAAATACTGGAAAACCAAAACTTAAGGGGGGATATAATTAAAAAAGAACTTGGATAAAGGAGAATTGGAGAAGCTTGGGAGTAGTATTACAAAAAAAAAAAAAAAAAAAAAAAAAAGCCATTTTTCATGTTTGCTAAACTTGAATAAATTTTAACTTTTATTTGAAAATCATTACAATGGTGGTTGTATTGCAGTAATTAAATAAAAGAATTAACAATATTTTTTCTATATATCTTCTGCCCTTAAAACTTAATTATTTTGGAAGGTCGTGGAAAGTATTTCATGAAACAGCATTACAGTAGAATTTAAAGTTACAAAGTTTTTGGAGAGGAAGAGTAAGGGAACAAGAGGTTATTAAAATCTTGCCCTTGCTAACCTGCGCCTGCTGCTGGTAGTACATGGTGTAATACTGCACATAAGATGCATGTTCCTCAGGAGTCTGAGCATATAAAGAAGCACTGTACTCAGCCAACTGTTTAATGTCTGCTCCTGCAGTGTATTCTGCAGGTTGATGGTACTGTTGCTGCTGCTGTTGTTGACTTGACCAGTTGTTACCTTTGTAGATTTATTAGAAAGCATTAGAATACCACATTCAGTAATTCCATTCACAATCGTCATGCTACATTTAAAATACTGAAGTTCAATTCATCAGCTTCACAAAATATATACAATACTGAATGTTTCATACTTTCACAAATACAGTAAACCTTTGATTTAGTGGCCCTTGATTTAATAGGCTTCAGAAATATGGAAAAAAAAGTTGTAATACTTGTAATGATGTTTATTAAATAAATGCAGGGAGTTCTCATCCCCTATGAAGGAATACAAATTTGTAAAAATAGCATATGGTTCAACCACTTTGAAGCCTGTACCATAGTACTACACGTTTGAGCTCAGGGTCTGTGCCACAGAACTACACAATGAGCTCAGCTTACTCAGATAAGCAGCAAGTGGTAAATTTGGGCCTAGATATGAGAGAATGAGTCTATACGGCGAGTGTGCGCCATATAAAAAATCCTCCCCCATACAGTGCATGGGGGAAAAAAAAAAACTGACAATTTTATTTAAAATATCAAATTTGTGGTGTATTTTTTGGATGGTTTTTATGGATGTATTCTGGGTTTCTTGGTATCATTTTACAGAATGGACAATATATTACAGAAACATAGATGATTTTTATTGGTTTCAGGACTGAAAGTAGTTTGAAATTGAACTCAAAATAGTGGAAACGTTAGATTTTTGTTGATATTCAAGAGGACAAATTATGTCACTCATCTAATACAAGTCTTATCTGGTGTCTAACACGCGTTCACGAATGTGCTGACACTATTTATACAATTACAATAATACAGTAGTCTGCAGACCGGTAAATCTTCTATATTTTGTGAATAAAAATTCAAAATGGAAATTACATGTATTTACAGGAAAGGCCTGAGGACATAACTAACGAACAGAGGAAAAGTTTTAGTGCAAAGAATGTCTGCATTGTTTATTCTGGACCCCATTTTTAAATTGGCAATTTTTTTTACGTGTGAAACTGGCCAAATTACCAATTTCAGATTACTTATTAGGTAGTCGAGATAGGTAAATGAACGGTTTCTTGTACTCAATCGATAGAATGGGAAGAATACCAGTGAAACAGCTATAAGTTTGGGCAATGAACAATGGAATTGGCCTAAAAGTGGGCGAAATCACCAATGCGTAAATATAGCCAAGACTGCTAACTTTGCAAGAGCATAATTCCGTAAGTTTTCCTTCAAATTTCGTACTTTTGGGTTCACTACCTTTGGAAAAAGGTAGTCTATCATTCCATAAGAAAAAAAAAAATTTTAATTCTTAGACCCTGACAGCAATTCTCAGATTAGGGGTCTGGATCCTGAAAGAGTTAAGAGCCAGAATGCATAGGAGCTCAAGGCAAACAGATATTTATGTGACCCTGCAAATAAAAATGATATTTTGTAAGAATAGTTTCACCAGCAATGTAGTGAAGGGGTTTCTCTTGCAGTGAATTTTGAAAGATGAGGGCAATTATTTTCACAAGCTCTTCAATAACAAAAAAAAATCTATTTGCAGGTGGCTCAACAAAACAAAAAAACCCATGCTTATTATGAAGTAAAACCCACTCAAAAGAAATCCAGATACATTTAACACCAAGAACGATTTGTGAATTTATTCATTTAGTTAAACATAATTTATCTGGTGAATAAATGTGTACATAATGCAGAGGTGATATTACTTGGTAGAGATCACCCCTTGCATTCAAACTGGAGCATTTTCCCTTCACTTTGTGCAATTTTGCTAATATTCATGTCCCATTTGTATCAGTATTAGGGGTATGTAATAAGCTCAGTCTACAAGACACTGAATATGTTTATTATACTAAATTAAGTTTATGGCCTTATTGAGCTTGGTAAAGCTGCCACAAGCCTGAAACACACCTACTGCATTAAGCAAGATAGGTATATATAAGAAATTACACATTCATAAAAGTTTCACCAATTATTAATAGCTTACCTGAGCTGCTGTTATTTCCATTATTCTGGTTGAGTTTACAATAGGAAATAGTCACCTGAAATAAAACCATTTTAAAGTATTATTAAATATGTTCTAAACAGTCTTCTTATTTATCCCTATAACTGTGGTCTTCCACCTCAACCTAACTTGATTTTTTTTATTAGACCACAAGGAATTAATAAATGTATTCTTCAAAGACCTCAAAGTCTATACTGAGCAACTATATTCTTATTAGTGCTAAAACTAAGCTTACATAACCTTATTATTTAATGTATAACAACCTTGTATTTTCAGAGAAAAACATATCCTGTATTTCTTTTCTATACACATTTCAAACTACGTAATATAGCCTCTTCTCACTTAGTGATGTACTCGTTTACCGAAGCCTCGGACTTACGACGGGCTCTCCAACAATTTTTTTTTTTTAACAAGTCGGCCGTCTCCTACCGAAGCAGGGTGACCCAAAAAGAAAAAATCCTCTCCCCCCAAAAATACTTTCATCATTCAACACTTTCACCTCACTCTCACATAATCACCATTTTTGCAGAGGTGCTCAGAATACAACAGTTTAGAAGCATATACGCATAAAGATACACAACATATCCCTCCAAACTGCCAATATCCCAAACCCCTCCTTTAAAGTGCAGGCATTGTACTTCCCATTTCCACTACTCAAGTCCAGCTATATAAATATAACAGGTTTCCCTGAATCCCTTCCCAACAAGTATTTATACCTAAATGTACACAATGCTGATTTCCTCTATTCTGTTTCAATATACATACAGTACACTACTGTATAAACATTTAAAAAATAACAGAAATGTTATAAATGGTGCAAAGGTGACATTAAAATAATATCAAACATAGTTGACACAAACCCACCACCATTATAGAATGTATGTTCCTCACTTAATGATGAATTCATTTAACGACTTGGTCTTAGGAACGGAACGAGTCTAAGTGAGGAGAGGCTGTACAGCATTTTCTCTCCATCCACCCCAGAATTATCCACCTTAATCAACCAATGATCCTCCATTCATTTTAATAACCAAATCATTTTTGCCAATCAGTGGCTTTTTCAATTCGGTACAGAGATTACATATTAGAGTTAAAATAATGCAAAAATTGTGAATGCATTTAGCAAAAAATAAAAATGAAAAAATAATTACTGAAAATAATGCATGAATGTTCGCAATATTCCCATCAGCAGGCAAGCATTTTTAAGAAATTAACTGGTTCCAAAGTGCCCTGTTTTTGAAAGTGCAAACCATCATAGTTAGAGCCCTACTGTATCACTTCCAAATACCCGTTACATTCTAATCGAACATCCTCTCCCATTCCCTAAATAACATTCTATTGACATAATTAACTAACCTGTTTGTTGTCAATGGTTGGAGGGGAATGAGCAAGTTTGTTGTGTAACTGCATTGAGTCTAAGACAGAATTGAGCTCAATGTAGCAAACTCCTCTTGAGGTATTCGTCAAAGGATCTCGTCCAATGCGAACGGAGCGAATGGGCAGATCACTACCAGCATGCTGGATACCTTGCAGGACACTTTCTTCAGTACTTAGAACATCTAGACCTCGCAGAAGAAGAGCTTGGGAGCACAGAAAGTAAATTTATTAAATATTCTCAATATGGTAAGCAATATTTATCATTACCATATACAGTAATTTGTCTCCAGTCTCTCTCCATATAGAAATCACAATCTCCATAATTTCCTTCACCACACCCATCTTCCGTAACAGAACAGTGCCTATGGGAGAATGAGTAAATGTTGGATACTTCTCATGGATTTTTCATAAGTTAAAAAAAGTTCACAAGTATGTTAAGGTGTAAAGGACTATAAACATTACCTTTTTCATGCTATTACTATTCCTGTTACCCTGCCATGCTTCTCCTGTTTGGTAATTAGCTTTCTATGTGCCACCAAATCAAAAACTTTTAGTCTAGGAATAAGTGGTACACCCAACCTTCTCTTTCCAGTGCCGTCTTATTTTTTCTCCCATCTTTCATTCCTGTGACTTGTTAGTATCTCTTATCTCTAAAAGGCTTATGTTCCATGAGGAATATTATACTTTCCAGATATTCAGTATGATCTTTTCTAAAACCTTTTACATTTTTTCGTTAAAAACAATAACCTATTTAGGAATTCCCGACTTAATTTTTCTTAAAAAAAATTTTTTAACAAGTCGGCCGTCTCCCACCAAGGCAGGGTTAGCCAAAAAGAAAGAAAATCCCCCAAACGAAAACACTTTCACCTCACTCACACAATCACTGTTTTTGCAGAAGTGCCCAGAATACAACAGTTTAGAAGCATATACATATAAATATACACAACATATCCTTCCAAACTGCCAATATCCTGAACCCCCTCCTTTAGACTGCAGGCACTGTACTTCCTATTTCCAGGACTCAAGTCCGGCTATATAAAAATAACTGGTTTCCCTGAATCCCTTCATTAAATACTATTACCCTGCCCACGCTCCAACAGTTCGTTAGGTCCCAAATACCAGTCGTCTCCATTCACTCCTGTCGAACACGCTCACGTTTTCTTGTCTCCACATATACGCACCATTCACCTTTTTTCCCATCAATTCTATGATTAACCTCATCCTTCATAAATCCATCCGCCGACACGTCGACTCCCAAATACCTGAAAACATTCACGTCTTCCATACTCCCCAATTTGATATCCAATTTTAATTTATCTAAATCATTTGATACCCTCATCACCTTACTCTTTTCTATGTTCACTTTCAACTTTCTACCTTTACACACATTTACTATTTACCATTTGTCTGACATTTTCACCCATTATTAATAAATAGTTGAAGACCTATGAGGCTGCCACTGTACTTCAGCTCCTTTTATTTATGGCAATACTTCATCTAGATTTTGTGCCCTGGATGTCAAGCTCCCTTGCAAGTCCTCTCACTCCCTCTCTAGACACTGCAATGCATTTTATCTGATTCTGACCCTTAATAGTTTGTGAGCAAAATAGGGCACATTCTTCTGAGCTTATTACATACACTACTTCTGCTATTTCCTGGTTACCTCTGCTTTTCTTTTGTGATGAAATGGTGCAGTTGACAAGAATAGAAACAAGAGGTTGCAGAAGCTTTCATTGGAATTTTGTAGATTTTCTAATTTGGCAATAATGGTTTTGGTCTTTTCATGGGTCTGATTTTTTTTTTCCTTTCTGAATTAATGATTGAACAACAGGTTCTCCCAGTGTCTAGTACATAATGATTTTGTGGTTGGAACAAATCTGTTACCACCTCACATTAAGTCATTTTTCAATATGAAAAGAATGCCAGAAATATCAAGACCTTAATATTAAAATATATAAATTTCTAACAGCTGAGTGATACTTTAAGTAAATATGTCATTATAACATTAAAAATGATTACCCTATTTTCCCTTGGAATAGGGTGAATTATTATAATCACAGGAAACATTATTATTATTATAATAAAAAAAGAAGCGCTAAGCCACAAGGACTATACAGCCCAGGAAACCTTAGATATACCTATGAAGTTTTGAGTTTAACTACTCGAAGAGCCCGGCCATGGGCCAGGCTCAAAGTGCTAAACCCATGAAGGTTGTTCAGAACCTGGGGAATGAGAGGTAATCCTATTTAATCCTAGGAAAGGGAGGATGGCTCCATTTCCTTTGATCAAGAGCCCTTTACCAAAATCAATTCGCCTACCTTGAAGAGGTAATTTGATATAACTACAAATTAAATATAAAATTTAAATATATTATTTTATTATCACACTGGCCGATTCCCACCAAGGCAGGGTGGCCCGAAAAAGAAAAACTTTCACCATCATTCACTCCATCACTGTCTTGCCAGAAGGGTGCTTTACACTACAGTTTTTAAACTGCAACATTAACACCCCTATAGGATAACATAAAATGCATAAAAATTTGGTCCACTTTCCTACAGCATGGAGCCTTTAATCTTCAATGGCCTAAATTCTCTAGTGTATACCACTAATCATCTAAAGTACACTTGTCTTACTGTATCTTATATCATTGGCATTGTTTAAGCAATACCTTGCAGCTTTTACGCCTGCACAGGTTGATAAACTTTTATTTCATAAATTCGAACTTACTATTTGTTGGATATGTACAAACTTCATCACTGCCTTCTTCTCCTGCCTCAGACTCATGGCGGGGAGCTGAACATTTGAAGCAAGAGTCACGCCTCTTGAAATTATGAGCACCACACTGTAACAAAGCATTACAAATTGAAATTAAACACTAAACCAACTGTATCAATAAACTGTTTATGAGCCTCGAGACAATATCAAATAACTCTGATCTCATAATGAACATACCCTGATGCAAAACCAGTCTTGTGATGCCTTTGACTGTCGTTCTGAAGATTCTTTAGGAATGGAATACTGCAACGTTGCTCTATACACATCTTGCAAAATAAGAACACCCTGCAAAAGATGCCATTAAAGACATTAATATTTACCCTCGAACAAAATTTCAGAGTCTTACATGAGCTGTTACTTTTGGTCTCCAATTCAGCCGAGAATGGGCTAGAAAAAGAGCAAGTTCTACAGGTAGGAAAACAAGTGATACTGTATTAGAATTACTTAAAGCATACATATAAAATTAAAATGTCTTTCATACCTGTGCAGGAGCTCTTCCCTAATCCCATGAATGGCATGAAATGGCAAAAGTGACTAGACTCAATCTACTGAGGAAGGAGTGCCAACACCCTGGCTGGAGGAGAACCTTGGTGCCGAGACTTTGTTGTTGTGGATGTTCGGGTGAGCACGTTTACTGTTGTGGTTGTAGTTGCTGATGCTGTTAAGCAGAGGGTCCCGCAGGGTTGCCCTTATCAGGCTTGCTCCTTTGATGATAACATCTCTCATTGGGAGTAGAATAACAGCTACAAGTTTCACTGACTTTCGCAAGCATGCATCCTTGAATATGTGCTCTCAGGACTCCAGAGGAGAAGCATTTGGGACATAATAAGACCACCTCTTAAATGCAAAGTGCTTACACTAACTAGACAGAATAGGATGCATTGCCTGATATTAAGGGTAAAAAACTTAATCTATCACATTAATTTATTTATGTAAAGCTGGAGGTGGCCTTAAATCAGTTTATCCCTAGCCATGCTCTAAATGTTAAGTCTTAAGACAGCTGAGCAAAAAGCTAGTGTTAGGTTCACTGATTCCTATGTCAGCTTAATCTACTATTGTGATCACTCAATCACTCAGCTTTCACACCATGGAGAGAAATACATGCTCACATAAACACAGTATCAAGGAACAAAAAATGAGCAAGCGTCAATTTTGGAGAAAAAAAAAAAAATTATTGTGCACTCAAAGTGAAACAAGTTTGATGCTTAATATAAGGATGTAAAGGATGAGGGGTGATACTTTCACAACGCACATGTACAATAATTGGACAAGGTCTAACAATAAAACAGTTCCTCATAGAAAATGACAAATTATTGATTCAACATTGGAAGCAAAATAACAAGAGGAACCCAATGGCTATGATGGTATTGAGGAAGAGGTAAACCCAGTGTTACTGGCAGAGTTGGCTGGCCCTGACCCCTTGGCCGTGGCCAGGGGGTCCGGGGACCCTGCCGGGGGAACTGCCTGGGGCCGGGCCGGGCCGGCGGGGATTCACCGCGATACCTGTTTGGCTTCCATCCACCGTGTGGCGTCATGTACCGTCGTAAACTCCACGAAGGCAAAGCCTCTTGATGCACCTAGACGCAAGAACACACACAAGCAAGTGTTAATTAATGATGTTCTTAAAGGAGGCGTGAGGGACACTCAACGTCGCACCCTCAAATGGCCGTGAGTTGGCCCTGTGGCCACTAACCAGCCACTTTGTGCCCACCTCGCTGGCTTCAAAGTTTTACTCTCTCAACAGCCTCTTTCAGGTCACAGGGGCCACTAATACATGAATAAATAATACAGCTGCACTGGTGTAGATAAACATACTTCTACTCATTGCTTGCCAAGTTCTCCATACAGCCTCATGCATCACCAAATGGAGAAATATGCATTCAACAATACTCCAGATGCATACACACACGCACACATGCACGCACACAATTCACTGCTCAAGATATTTAAGGAATCACTGGTGTCCCCTACTGCTGCATTCCTGCATCGATCTTCTTTTAAGGGTGCAAGGAACACAATTAAGGAATATTTATATAATATATTAAAGCAATAATGATTATCTCTACAATTTTTCAATATATAAAATATATATATATATATATATATATATATATATATATATATATATATATATATATAATGTATATATATATACACATATATATATATATATATATATATATATATATATATATATATATATATATATATATATATATATATATATACAGCCTGCATGCTAAACAACAATTATTAAACATACTGTACTTTTTAAAAGGCTTATATTTATTTCAATTTGAAGGAATTCCATAATCAGTTTTACAGTTAAAAAAATGACTTATTTCTGAGCAGTACTGACACTGAAAACCTTATCCATGACCCCGAGTACTCACAATTTCGGAGCACAAAATAATGCTGCTGATCTGCGAAACATATGAAGGTACCTGGAAGAGTTTGATTTAGTGCTCATCAAATGTGTAAATTGTTTTGGCAACCCTGTGACCTAGGCCTTCCTTCAGCCAGCGAGACAAACACAGGTGGACAGGAAAGAACATGGATAACAGAAAATGGAACTAAAACATAAAAACATAGGAGTCCAGGGAGGTTAGGCCCAAGGGAATGCTACTTTACCTGATTCTTTTTTCCTGACGAGTCTGATGTCTTTTGGCATGAGATTACAAGCTAAAATATCAGCACGAATCTGAAAATTAGACACCTTGTGAGCCTAAAACATTAATATAGTTACAACACATGATCAACCTTAATTTTTATTTCACAGTAGTCTCTTAGTGAAAAAAGAAGTTAAGGCATTTACAGACAGTAATTAATTAGTTCTTAGATCACCTAAATTTTACTTGTTACATTCATGTTCTTCTGTGACAAGAGGGAGCCATAGTGTATGCCACCACGCAAATCATCAAAACTTACGTCATTCTCCGTAATGTGCTGTGCCAAACCTCGGACCATGATTGTATTGTTGGGTGGTTGAGATTTATAATCTGTTCTTTCTTCATCGTAACTGTAAAGAAATTAATATACTGTACAAAAATCTTATTACATAAGTAGTGGCACAGGAGGGATACTATATGAATGAGAAGTGCATACACTCAGATGGCACAGTCAAATGAAATGGAAACACTCATTCTTTAAGTACTGTACTACATTTGATGATTTTCGAGAATTTTTCTACTCCTGGAACCCAGCCTTGGCTGAGGTTATATTACTACTTGTGCCTGCGATTCCAATGTAATAATCTGTGACAAGTCACTAGGTTCTAAACTCAGATGCACACTAGCGAAGCAGGAACTATAGAGCATTACAAACAGGAGATCAAAAACAAAGCTTGTAAATTAAATGAAAGATTTCAGACCCAAATGCAGTTACAGAGACCAGGATAGCTGATTACAAAAGCAGTTTTCTTAACCCTTTGACTGTTTCAGGTCCCTCTCTGAAACTGTCATTCTATGTCGCCAAATATTCAAAAAAAAAAAAAATTATTTTTTCTTATGAAAATGTTAAGATTATTTTTCTGAGTGTTTTAGTCCAAAAAAAAAAATTTTTGCCATCGGTACTTACCGAGATATAGAGCCATGAAGTTTGCAGAAAATGAGCCGCGTATGGCAACAGCGGCGACTGCGCTCACCCGGTAAACTTTAGTTTACTTGTAATTGAAGGTTTTTTGTTTTTTTCACTATTTTATTTTTTCACATAACTTATGTGGCCTATGAGACCAAAGTAAGGTGCAATGTATATATATACACTCGTTGTATACAACACAACAAGCACACAAACATAATTATCAATATATTGTTTACAAAACTTGTTTACAAAAACAAACAAACAATTCTTCTTCCTCTTCCTCTTCCTCTTCCTCCTCTTCCTCCTCTTCCTCTTCCTCCTCCTCTTCCTCCTCCTCTTCCTCCTCTTCCTCCTCCTCTTCCTCCTCCTCTTCCTCCTCTTCCTCCTCCTCTTCCTCCTCCTCTTCCTCCTCCTCTTCCTCCTCTTCTTCTTCTTCCTCCTCCTCTTCTTCTTCCTCCTCTTCTTCTTCTTCCTCCTCTTCTTCTTCTTCCTCCTCCTCCTCCTCCTTGTGTGCGAGTGTGTGGCTTATAATTGTTTTGAGTCAGGAGTCGGCAGCTGTCAAAGTGACATATTGTGTCATTAGTCACTACCCTACCGCCTGTCAAAACAATGGGGTCGGATGCTGCTTCCCCTCCTCCATTCTATCTAATTATCTTTCTCCTCATTTTATATCTTTCAATCTGTCTCTCTTTCTATCTGTCTGCCTATCTCTGTCTCACAGGTACACATTAAATACAAGTATACATAGTGTAAATTACCTAGGATAACCCAAGAAATCCAGACAAAGTGCTATACTCTGCTTGAAGATGTGAGTAAACGTGATGACACAGTCTTGTGGCTCTCTCTGAGACAGAGAGCTAGATGGACAGACAGGGAGCTTGACAGACAGACAAATAGACAGACAGAAATGTTTGTGTACCAGCAAAAACAAAGGGAGGGCAATGGTCATGTAATATTACCCTCCTTTACCCTCATCAAAGTCAGCTCTTATCAGATGTTATCTCCCCTTATCTTGTCACTGTCATGGGGTGGACTTTTTTTTTCTTGCTTCAAGGGAACAATATTATTACATCTTCTTCTTCCTCCTCCTCCTCCTCCTCTTCTCCTCCTCCTCCTCCTCCTCCTCCTCCTCCTCTTCCTTCCCTCCTCCTCCTCCTCCTCCTCCTCCTCTTCCTCCCCTCCTCCCCCTCCTCCTCCTCCATTGCTTTTGGTCTCAAACTCCTCCAAATCATGAAATTGATCTTCACTGACACTTCCATCTGTTAGAGCATCACTTGGGAAGAGAAGAGTCCCAGATTTGCTGGGGAATCACATATTTCTTACCGCTAGACATGCTGAAAAATGACAACTGAAATGGCATTCCCACAATGCACCACTGGCTCCCCGATTTTTTTTATATGGTGCACACTGACCATGGAGACCCATTCTCTCACATGTGGGCCTACCAGCTTTCTCCTGCTTGATTTGAAGCTGCTAGAATTTATGCGTATAAATACGTCAGAAACATTGGCTCGTAAGACGTATTTATACGTCGGAAACAGTCAAAGGGTTAATGGACAGATATATAAAGGAGTAAAGATCAAAGGGGAAAAGTAACAATATTCCTAATATAAAAAATGGATTAGAAAAAAGGTTAACTCCACAACACTGTCTTAGACATAGCCAACTGAATTATATTGTCACCGAGTCTTTGTGGCATAAATTGGGGCATCATCACCTGTTTCTGGCCCCTTGAGCATTTTCTTATCTACTCTTAACCCTTAAACTGTCCAAACAGATCTACATTCACATGCATAGCGCTCGGAACGTAGATCTAAGTTTTATTTTACATGCTTTCAAATGTAAAAAAATGTGTAGATCTACGTTCGGAGTGCTACGCACATGAACATAGATCAATGTTTGGACAGTTTAATGAATTTGCCAACACTTGCTAATTCAACTTCACTTTCAATAACTGTATGATTGTATTAACCCTTTGACTGTCGCAGGCCCCTTTCTGAAACTGTCATTCTATGTCGATAAATTTTTGGAAAAAAAAAAAAAAAAAAAAAAAATGATAGAGAATCTTTTCCCGGTGGTAATGACACCAAAAGTTCAAAATTTGGTCGAAAACTCATGGAATTACGCTCCCATGAAGTTAGCAGTCTCAGCGACATATGGGTATCGGTGATTTCGCCAACTTGAGCCCTGTTTTCAGCCAATTCCGTTTTTCCAGTTGACCAAACTCAGCTATTTCTTTAGAACTCCATTTTATCTATCAGCTGAGTACAAAAAACTGCCCATTTACCAATTTGAACTACCCAATATAGTGGTCAGAAATTGGCAATTTGTCCAATTTCACGTAAATTAAAAAATATGCCGATTTCAAAATAGGGTCCAGAATAAACAAGGTAGACATTCTTGGCACTAAAATAACATATCCTCTGTTCATTAGTCACATCCCTAGGCCCCTCTTATATTATTATTGCTTTCTATTTTTATTTTTTATTCATACAAAAAAATACAAAATTTACTGTTATGCAGACTACTGCATTATTGTAAAAATAATACCAGTGCACTAGTGAGAATATTAGACTCCCCAGTTGACGTGTATTGGACGTGTGGTGTGATTTGTTTACTCCTGAACATTGGTAAAAATCAAACATTTCCATTACTTTGAGCTCAGTTTCAAGGTCGTTTTCATCGTCAAATGAAAATCATCTCTATTTCTGTAATATGCTTTCCATTTTATCACCTAAGACCATGAAAACGCGAATACAGCAATAAATACTATACGAAAATACACCTCAAAGTCGGCGTTTTAATCCAAAAAAACAATGTTTTTTTTCTCATTATGCACTGTGCTGCAGGATTTTTTTTATGTGGTGCACACTGACCACACAGACCCATTCTCTCACATGTGGGCCTACCAGCTTTCTCCCGCTTGATTTGAAGCCGCTAGAATTATTGAGTATATATACGTCAGAAACAATGGCGCACAAGATGTATTTATACGGTGTAAACAGTCAAAGGGTTAAGGAGCCCTGCAAGTAAAAACAAAGTATTCTAACTAGCTAAGTAGTTTATCATGGCGGTTTAATATTGAGCATTGCAATACTGTACTTACTGATCTCTATGGTGATCATAATCCCTATAATCTCTATGGTCACGATCACGACGAGGACTGCGATCACGGTCATCATCCCTCCAGCGATCACGATCACGATCCCTATCTCTGTCACGATCCCGATCTCTGTCACGATCCCGATCTCTGTCACGATCACGATCCCTGTCTCTGCGGTCTCTGTCCCTATCTCTCCTGTCTCGATCACGATCCCGATCTCTGTCTCTACGACGGTCTTCCCGGTCACGGCGCTCACGATGACGTGGTGGGTCTGGGTCATAAGCAGCTGCTGCATAACTGTCATAAGGGTCTAGGCTGCTACGGCCGTGTCCACGCCCACCTCCTGGTGCTGCTGCAGAAGCAATATATGCACCCTGTCAAAATAAAAAAAAAAAGATATAAATACAAAGATTATAACTATTAAAAATATAACTTGAAAGTTAAACTGTATCCACCTGATAAACACTCAAGTGTTCTCATAATTGATGAAAATATCAAGGCCAATACAAGCACAATACGTGTTTAATACAGCCATTTTGTCACACACCTGTGTAACATACTGAGGGTACTGAGCATATGCTGCAGCCTCCAGACTACCGTATGCTGCAGCTGCAGTGTACATGTGTTGCTGGGCAGCCATGGCGTTGATCATCTCTGTTAAACCAAGACCCTGGCCCTGTAACTGTACAAAGAATTTACGACTCATATATAATTCAATGAGTATTATCATATTACAGTTCATTCATGGAGAAATACTAAACCAGTATAGGTTATAGAGCCTTGGGGAACTGGAGGCAATCAGATATGAGCAGAGAAAGGGGAAGGTGGTTCAAATTCCTTGGATCAAAAGCCCTTAGCTAACATCAGGGTACCTCCCATAAAAATTGCTTGTTCGTTAATGTTCAGTATAAAGTATTATTTCTTGGACAGTAATTACAAACCAAGGTATTTATGTCTTTAGAAATAATGACAATACAGACCTCCCTTTTCTCAAATTAGCATACTGTACTTTAGTAATATTATAATAAAAATGTAGTTTTAGTTAATATTATAGTACAGTACTATACTAATTAAGCTAACACAGAGAACTCTCCCAGAAACACCAAATAAACAAATTACTTTATGAAGGCTGTTTCTTCTCCACGTAACCATGCTTGGAGAAAGATAATCCACTGCTACAGTGTCATAAGACTCATTAAATATTTTTCAGCATTTGCTCCCAGTCAGAGTGACTGCTCATTTTAACATGACAACTGTGTCCGAGCTCCTGTCCAGTTCCATTACAATACTTGTATATACTGCTTCAACCTAACCTCCAAGTCATATTACATTTCCCCACTATGTCTAAGCATTGCTTACACAATGTAACAACCACTAAATGCAACCTTCACATTAAAGGACCTCTGGGAATTGTCAAAAGAATCATTATTTTTAAGTAGAAACCAAAATGATGTCCTGGAATACAGTGGAACCTCAAATATCGAACTTCCTTCGTTCCAGACGGCTGTTTGAGTGCCGTTACCGAACGAATTTAATCCCATCAGGAATAATGTAAATTAGATTAGTTCATTTCAGTCCCTCAAAAATACACTTGTACAAGAATGGTATACAATACCGACAAGATGAAATTAAGGCACGTGCAAAACCTGGGTATCTTTATTGTAGACGTTTCGCCATCAAGTGGTTTTATCAATACAAATTCCAGGACATAACTGGAAGACAGTAGAACTGGATGGTGAAACGTCTACAATAAAGATACCCAGATGTTGCACGTGTCTTAATTTAAAAAATACACTTATAAAAGCACTTACAAAAATACACTTACATAGCTGGTCGAGTTAAGAGCAGTTCGATGTTTGAGGTCCCACTGTACTTGTACGAAAGGATATACAAGTTTATTTCAACACGATACACTGAGAGTATGTTGAAAGCCCATAGTTATTCAGAGCATTTTGAGCAAGCTTAATCATAATTTAAGATTACAAGAATATATCATTGTACATAAGAAATAATCAGTTGGGTTATAGTCTAATAAGTTCATAGGTACTACCCATCACTGCAGCTCAAACCTATAAAAACACATAATTAACAAGTTAAATGTAATGGCTGATACACATCTGCATTACAGTGAAATCTGTTGACATTTGGGCAACCAGCTGCCAGTCCAATACCCTCAGTCTGCTTATATATTTATTCTTAACCATACTGCTTGCAACAAAGGATAAGAGCCAAACCACAACACTTACCTCCATTTTCCAGTATCAACAAAGTCTGCTCTGAAAAGGCAGAAAGAGGCTTGGTTAGTAAAAATATACAAATTGCTTTAAATTAAAATAATGATGTAAATGGCTAAATATGCAATGTAAATTAAGCAAGGGATTAAGTACATTCTGTAACTAGCCCAAACATATTTAACCCTTTCAGGGTCCAAGGCCCAAATCTGGAGTCACGCACCAGTGTCCAAGAATTTTCAAAAAAAAAAATTTGTTATTTTTTCTTATGAAATCGTAGAGAATCTTTTTGTGAAGGTAATAAAACAAAAAGTACGAAATTTGGTGGAAAATTGACGAAATTATGCTCTCGCGAATTTTGATGTGTCAGCGATATTTACGAATCGGCGATTTTGCCGACTTTGACTCCCATTTTAGGCCAATTACATTATTCCAATCAACAAAATTCTTAGCTATTTCACTAGTATTACTTCTATTCTATCGATTGAGCACAAGAAATCGCCAAGTCAACTGTTTCAACTACAAAATAAAGTGATCGGAAATTGGTAATTTGGCCAATTTAACACAAAGTTCAAAATATTCCAATTTCAAAATAGGGTCCAGTAAGTTGGCCAATTTAACACAAAGTTCAAAATATTCCAATTTCAAAATAGGGTCCAGAATGAACAATGTAGGCATTCCTGGCACTAAACTAACATTTCCTCTGTTCATTAGTTATGTTTTGAGGCTTTACAAATAAATTCCATTTTGATTTTTTATTCACATAATGAATTTTTATTCACACCAAAAAATAGAAGATTTACTGTTATGCAATACTGTAATAATTGTATAACTATCATCACCATATTTGTGTATTTGTGAATGTATATTAGACCCACCAGCTGACGTGTATTCGACGTGTGAGGTCGTTTGTTTACTCTTGAATATCGGCAAAAATTTAACATTTCTGCTACTATGAGCTCAGTTTCAAGCCATTTCCAATGCTAAAACCAATCAAAATCATCTCTATTTCTGTAATATGTCTTCCATTCTATCAAATGAGACCAAGAAATCGCAAATACAATTATAAAAAACATACGAAAAAACACTGCAAAGTTGCTGTTTTAATCGAAAAATCATGATTTCATTTTTTTCTCTCATTATACACAGTGTGCTGCAGGATCTGTTTTATGTGGTGCACACATACCACATAGATGTATTCTCTCATATCTAGGCCCAAATGTACCACTCACAGTTTATCAGAGTGAGCTGAGCTCATGGCGTAGATCTACGGTTTGGACCCTGAATGTAAAGCTGTAGATCTACGGGACGGACCCTGAAAGGGTTAACCCTTTGAGGGTTTCGGATGTACTAGTACGGCTTACGACCCAGGGTTTTTGACGTACTAGTACGCCTAAATTCTAGCACCCTCAAATCTAGTGGGAGAAAGCCGGTAGGTCTTCATATGAAAGAATGGGTCTATGTGGTCAGTGTGCACAGTCTAAAAAAAATCCTGCAGCACACAGTGCATAATGAGAAAAAAAAAACTTTGACCATTTTTTTGGAATAAAACAGCGACTTTGCACTGTATTTTCGTATTGTATTTATTGTTGTATTCTAGTTTTCTTGTTCTCATTTTATAGAATGGAAGACATATTACAGAAATTGAGATGATTTTGACTGGTTTTACAATGAAAGGTACCTTGAAATTGAGCTCAAAGTAGCAGAAATGTTAGATTTTTACCAAATTTCAAAAGTAAACAAATCGTGCCAAGCGTGCAATACACGTCAACTGGTGAGTCTAATATTCTTTCACAAGTGCACCAATAATATTTATACCATTTTTTACACTAATGCAGTAGTCTGCATAACAGTAAATCTTATATTTTTTGTGAGAATAAAAATTCAAAGTGGAAAGCAAAAGAATATAAGAGGGGCCTTGAGACGTGACTAATGACCAGAGGAAATGTCATTTTAGTGCCAGGAATGTCTTTCTTGTTTATTCTGAACCCTATTCGGAAATTGGCATCTTTTGAAATTTGTGTGAAATTGGCAAAATTGCTAAATTCTGACCACTGTACTGGATAGTTGAATTTCATAAATGGGTGGTTTCTTGCACAAATTCGATAGAAAAAATGGAGTTCTAGCGAAATATTCATGTTTTTTGTCGACTAGTACAGTGGAATTGGCCGAAAATGGGGCTCAAAGTGGGCAAAATCGCCGATGCGTAAACATCGCCGAGACCGCTAACTTTGTGAGAGCATAATTCCGTAAGTTTTCCATCAAATTTCAAACTTTTGGTGTCCTTATGATCAGGAAAAGATTCTCTATCTTTTCATAAGAGAAAATATTTTTTTTTTTTAAAATTTGGCCGACCCTGAGAACGAGTTTCGGAGAGGGCCTGTCGACCCTCAAAGGGTTAATACTATGCTAATTGTAATGAAATGTCAAGATAATTCTGTGTGTACTATTAAAAGCACTAACCTAACTTAGTCTAAGCCTAAACTCAACCTAAACTATTTTACTAGTCAATATGTAGTTGTATTTCAAGTTACCAAACCTGCTGCCTGAATAACTCAGTGATTTGCAAAGTCAGTGACTTAACTAGAAACCAAGCAAATGATTTCAGTGATGTCAAGCAAGGTCACCAACATTCAAATCATGGATGACCCAAGTTATCTACCTACATAATTTAGGTTTGGATTAGTTAATTATAATAAAAAAGAAGTACTAAACCAACAAGGGTCATACAGCATTGGATTAGTTCAATTTGTTATGTTAGTGTGTGCCGAGACCTGTATTAAATTTACACACAGCATAAGGCTGAACTCTTCGACAACTGGAAAATCACTTTTAACAGGTAGCTTCAGTTCCTTGGACCAAGAAATCTTCACCAATGGAAACAAGTCACTGACCTTTTTGGGTTATCCTAGGTAATTTACACTGCATGATAATTGTACTTATGTGTACCTGTGCCTAAATGAACTTACTTCCTGACCAACATCAACCTCACCTGAAGGAGGAGGGTTCAGACATAGCAGCAGCGTCATCCTAATATATGTAGTCAGTTAATTCATTATGTACAGTTCAGGATATTTATTAAAGGAAATATTTCACCATAAGTGGCTTCATCAGTCCTGAAGAAGCCACTTGTGCTGAAATATCTTGAACTATACATAAAGTCAGTACCTGACCAATCGGGCTGTGGCTCGTACATTGGATTGCATGCAGCCAGCAGTAACAGGCTGGTTGATCAGGCTCTGATTCACCATGAGGCCTGGTCACAGACCGGGCCACGGGGGCGTTGACCCCAGAACTCTCTCCAGGTAAACTCCAGGTAAGTGTCTGGTTGGTATCTTCATACCATTTCTCAGTTAAGTGTTCTGTGAGAAGCAACAGCCAACACAATAAAACGAAAAGAAGTGTATCAATACATAGGCCTACTTGCCCATGCCAAGGTAAGCCTACCTACATGAAGAAAACCCACCAAGTACAGGTCAACCAAACAAGACCACACACAATGAACACTGATAAATTAAGAACATAAGAACGAAGGAACACTGCAGCAGGCCTACTGGCCCATGCGAGGCAGGTCCAAGTCTCCTACCGGCTTAAGCCAATGCACCCAACCTAGTCAGGTCAGGTCACATTGACTTAAGGGAGGAACACGGCAACCGACCTGGTAGCACAAGCTATCAGGTCCAACTCACACCCACCCACTACACACTGGCTTCATCAGTCCAGTACAAATAAGAATGAAGATCAGGAGTTTGAGGTAATCAATCCCTCAGCCTAGAGTCGATGTAATCAATCTTGAAAAGACTGATGGATTGATCACATCGACTCCAGACTGAGGGATGGACTACCTCAAACTCTTTCCAATCCTCACTATTCTTTGTACAGGACTGATGAAGCCACTGTGTGGCGAAACGTTTCCCCAACAAAGATACCCAAGTGCCGCATGTGTCCAATTAATCAAGTTGTCGGTTCCCTGAAGCATTTACGTACAAGAGTGAACATCACCCGTGTGAGGCAGGCTGAGGGAGGAGACTCACCATGTGAACACTCTTCTCTCATCTTCCTCCTCCATCATCGCCTCTTACACACTCCCCACATCTTCCACACCTTCACGGCAACATACTAAGTAGATATCAAATAAACTTACATAACTGTTGCCGTCCATGAAGAGCTAAAACTGGATGATAGTGGCGTAATGTCTGCTCACAAAATGGCGATGGAGCTGGTCAATAGTGGTGTTCGGAGGCGTGGCTTCACACACAATTCTTAAATTATATATTTCCACACAATTACTTATAATGTATAACAACCCAACCAGACAAATTTATATGAATGTTTTTAGACTGTCAGTGAGAAAACAGTGTGAATAATTCTTTTAATATTGTTAAAAACATTTAATTTAGCATAGAGAGCGGAATCAAACACAAGTAAGATAAGCTTCGGGTAGGAGACTTGAGTCATCTTTTCTTCAGAAACGTTGAAAAAAACAAATATACACGGCTCTTGACACAATCAAAAATGAATTTTCATATATTAAAATAAAACGTAAACGCCGTTTTATAACAACATTACTTAGATATCCAATATAAATGTTGTTAATACTGGAAACACATGGCACCTCTCTTTCCCTGACTGACGCACCAATATGCCGAATTATTCAGTAAAAACTTGTATTCTCTCTCTCGTACCTAAAGCACTCATCCAAGACATAACTATTATGAAATTTTATAAAAAAAAAGGGGCTCTTGATATATAGTTAATATTATACACGTGGAGAATGAGCATGAATCACCTAGTGAGCAGAGTGTTGGTGGGATGGCCGGCCTCTAAAATCAATAATATCTGCCTTAGAATCTTGTACTTAAGTTTACAAGGCCAAGTTAAGACCTACAACCTATTGTGGGACCCATAAGATTCTAGGGACCCACTAGACACTGTGGGGACCCACTAGATACTGTGGGGACCCACTAGATACTGTGGGGACCCACTAGATACTGTGGGGACCCACTAGACACTGTGGGGACCCACTAGATACTGTGGGGACCCACTAGATACTGTGGGGACCCACTAGATACTGTGGGGACCCACTAGATACTGTGGGGACCCACTAGATACTGTGGGGGCCCACTAGATACTGTGGGGACCCACTAGATACTGTGGGGACCCACTAGACACTGTGGGGACCCACTAGATACTGTGGGGACCCACTAGATACTGTGGGGACCCACTAGATACTGTGGGGACCCACTAGATACTGTGGGAACCCACTAGATACTGTGGGGACCCACTAGATACTGTGGGGACCCACTAGATACTGTGGGGACCCAATAGATACTGTGGGAACCCACTAGATACTGTGGGGACCCACTAGATGCTGTGGGTACCCACTATATACTGTGGGGACCCACTGGATACTGTGGGAACCCACCAGATACTGTGGGGACCCACTAGATACTGTGGGGACCCACTAGAGAATGTGGGGATCCACTAGATAGATACTGTGGGGACCCACTAGATAGATACTGTGGGGACCCACTAGATAGATACTGTGGGGACCCACTAGATAGATACTGTGGGGACCCACTAGATAGATACTGTGGGGACCCACTAGATAGATACTGTGGGGACCCACTAGATAGATACTGTGGGGACCCACTAGATAGATACTGTGGGGACCCACTAGATAGATACTGTGTGGACCCACTAGATAGATACTGTGGGGACCCACTAGATAGATACTGTGGGGACCCACTAGATAGATACTGTGGGGACCCACTAGATAGATACTGTGGGGACCCACTAGATAGATACTGTGGGGACCCACTAGATAGACACTGTGGGGACCCACTAGATAGATACTGTGGGGACCCACTAGATAGATAATGTGGGGACCCACTAGATAGATACTGTGGGGACCCACTAGATAGATACTGTGGGGACCCACAAGACTCGAGGGGCCCACAAGACTCTAGAGACCCACTAGATACTGTGGGGACCCACTAGATACTGTGAGAACCCACTAGATACTGTGGGGACCCACTAGATACTGTGGGGACCCACTAGATACTGTGGGGACCCACTAGATACTGTGCGAACCCACTAGATACTGTAGGGACCCACTAGATACTGTGGGGACTTACTAGATACTGTGGGGACCCACTAGATACTGTGAGGACCCACTGGATACTGTGGGAACCCACCAGATACTGTGGGGACCCACTAGATACTGTGGGGACCCACTAGATAGATACTGTGGGGACCCACTAGATAGATACTGTGGTTACTCACTAGATAGATACTGTGGGGACCCACTAGATAGATACTGTGGGGACCCACTAGATAGATACTGTGGGGACCCACTAGATAGATACTGTAGGGACCCACTAGATAGATACTGTAGGGACCCACTAGATAGATACTGTGGGGACCCACTAGATAGATACTGTGGGGACCCACTAGATAGATAATGTGGAGACCCACTAGATAGATACTGTGGTTACTCACTAGATAGATACTGTGGGGACCCACTAGATAGATACTGTGGGGACCCACTAGATAGATACTGTGGGGACCCACTAGATAGATACTGTAGGGACCCACTAGATAGATACTGTAGGGACCCACTAGATAGATACTGTGGGGACCCACTAGATAGATACTGTGGGGACCCACTAGATAGATAATGTGGAGACCCACTAGATAGATACTGTGGGGACCCACTAGATAGATACTGTGGGGACCCACTAGATAGATACTGTGGGGACCCACTAGATAGATACTGTGGGGACCCACTAGATAGATACTGTGGGGACCCACTAGATACTGTGGAAACCCATAAGACTCTAGGGACCCACAAGACGACAGGGACCCACAAGACTCTAGGGACCCACAAGACTCTAGGGACCCACTAGACACTGTTGGGACCCACTAGACACTGCGAACCTACTAGACACACTATGGACCCACAAGATTCTGTGGACCCACAAGACTGGGGACCCACTAGACACTCTGGGGGCCCAAAATATTCCGGGGACTACTAGACACGCTGGAGACCCACGAGGCTGGGGATCCACTACACTCTGGAGACCCACAAGACTCATGGTTTTACTAGGCACTCTGGGGACCCACTAGACACTGGCGACCCAAAAGATTGGGGACCCACAAGATTCTGGGGACCCACTAGACACTATGGGGGACCTACAAGACTGGGGGCCCGCAAGACTCTGGGGACCCACTAGACACTATGAGAACCCACAAGTCACTATGGGGACCCAGTAGACACTCTGGGGACCTACAAGACTGGGGGCCCACGTCAGTACGTCACCATTAAAGACACAGCATCAGCAACACGGCCACTTGATACTGGAGTTCCGCAGGGAAGTGTCCTTGGTCCCCTGCTCTTCCTCATATACATCAATGACCTTCCAAACGTATCCCAACACCTGACACCCATTCTCTTTGCTGATGACACGACTTATGTCATCTCTCACCCTAATCTTGCCACCCTCAACACCATTGTGAATGAGGAGCTGATTAAAATATCGACTTGGATGACAGCCAATAAACTTACGCTTAACACTGACAAAACCTACTATATTATGTTTGGTAGCAGAGCAGGAGATGCACAAATTAACATTAAGATTGACAACACTCTAATTACCAGAAATAATGGGGGAAAATTCCTAGGCTTATACCTTGACAACAACCTGAATTTCAGCACCCATATCCAGCATATAGCCAAAAAAGTATCCAAAACGGTTGGGATCCTCTCCAAGATACGATACTACGTGCCGCAAAATGCCCTTCTCACACTATACCACTCACTTATTTATCCATACCTCACCTATGCTATTTGTGCTTGGGGATCAACTGCAGCAACACACCTAAAGCCAATAATAACCCAACAAAAAGCTGCAGTAAGAATAATCACTAAATCCCATCCCTGGCAACACCCCCCCCCACTCTTCATAGATCTAAACTTACTCCCAGTTCAGTACATCCACACTTACTACTGTGCAATCTATATCTACAGGGCCTTAAACTCTAATATCAACCTTGACCTAAAACGCTTTCTTGATAGTTGTGACAGAACCCACAGGCATAACACCAGACACAAACATCTCTACGACATTCCCCGTGTCCGACTAAACCTTTACAAAAATTCAATGTATGTCAAAGGCCCTAAAATCTGGAATACCCTACCTGAGAACTCTAGAACTGCAGACACATTCATCACCTTCAAAACTACCATTAGAAAACATCTTATCTCCCTGATACACCCCGTCAACTAACTACACGAATACCACCTGGTGGTTCACACTTACACTCGCTCACTCATTTGACCATAAACAGAAATATTAATCTCAGTCTTAAAATAATGAATCCTGTGATACTCCAATACTGAAACTATGTACTGTGCCAAAACAAAAGCATTCACATTGCTAAACTCACAAACTAGTATTTAGTCACTTAGCCATAATACCAACTTACCTCATAATTTGTAATATTTTACAATTAAGAATAAAACTAAGTATGCCCGAAATGCCTAGCCATGCTAAGCGTTCTAGTGGTACACTCTGTAATCACAATTTTACTACATGTAAACCAAACAATAACCAAATTTCTATAAACTCAGCATTGTAATCCTTATAGAGAATAAACTTTGAATTTGAATTGACTCTGGGGACCCACTAGACACTATGAGAACCCACAAGTCACTATGGGGACCTACAAGGACGTCTGCAATAATTTTCGTGAAGTTTGGAGGCTTCGCTGTAGCCTGGGCATCCTAGTTATAAAAATCTGTCAATTTTTAGAAGTTTTGTTCATCCTTTTTATGTTTTAGGTATCCCTGAAAGGCATTCTTTTCAATACTACTTTGCTCATAACTCGAGAACGCCTCAACCAATCGGTTTCAAATTTTTAACACTTGTGTACGGTAACGAGGACTAAATTCCTGGAACAATTGGCATGTTCAAGTGCCCTTTTATTGTAAGTGATTTTCACACAGTTGAGTTAGCTGTTTTAGTTTTTAGTTATAATCATAACTGATTTCTACCGTAGCTTACAACTAGGCTTTAAATATTAAGATATTACGAGGACCCCACTGGAAATAAGTCACTTTGTACGATTTTTTTTTTTGGGGGGGGAGGATTATCCTAGGTAATTTAAACTTATTTTACTGTGTATGATAATTGTACTTGTGTGTATCTGTACCTCAATAATCTTGCTTACTAAGCCTGGAATGGCTGGGATAACTTCCAAAATCCTC